TGGGTGAGAGAGAACACCCGAAACATGTTTACTACAATTAAATCCTTAGTTCTTTTCTTAAAATGTGTTGTATTTTTCATCAATTTGCGTCCGTTTGGTTCCATCATTAAGGATTTTAGTTCGGAAGATCTGCCAATTTGTTTGCTTAGGAAGTATAAGAAGATATCCCTACGCTTCATTAAAGCTGAATTGGATTATCATTTTTTACACAATAATAATAATAATAATAATAATAATAATAATAATAATAATAATAATAATAATAATAATAATAATAATAATAATAATAATAATATTAATAATAATAATAATAATAATATTGTCACAAACTTTTGGTTCTTACTCAAATTAATATAAAATGATATTATTTGAGTGTCAGCATCACTTAGTTAAAATGAAGGCATACTAGGTCCACCTGTAAATTATGTACACCTTACAAAACAAGTCTTTCAATGTTAATTCGGTTTTAATACTCTGAAAGTACACTGTTAAAAAAAAAACAATATTCTATTAGAACAGACCATTAGATATATGCTTATGTAATCTGAAACAAATTCATTTTTAAATTCCTTTTAACTGATTATAATGGACTGTTAATTCGGGGTTAAACTCATCACCACAAGTCTAATAGTTATCAATATCATTGTCATTCAATTTTAAGGGACTAATGGTAAAAACAATCGAGCGGCTAATAGAAAATATCGAATTTTTTCAAGATGACACTGAAGAAAATAAGGTTCTAAATGGGGCAACACAAGCATTGTCAGTGATTGGTAATGTGTTAGAGGTAAGTGAAATTATAATTAAGACATTCATAGTAGGCCTATACATTTATTTGTTCTTTTTATACACTCCAAGGAAACGCTATGACATGATTGGCTATAATGAGTCCATTGCGTGCTCTCATTACTGCTATCGCAATAATGCTATAGAAATAACAAAAAGTCTAAAAGCTACCTTTTTACTTAACATTGTTCATCAGCCCTAAACCTGTTGATTTTAAAGAAACGGTAGTAAATCATTGCATTTTCATATCTACTGATATGTAGGGATCATCGTTTGGCTTTTCAAATGCATTAAATGGCAGTGGGTCAGATCCGGTTCGGGTAAGTTTGTCTATTAATACCACCAAGCTTTTTAAACGCTTTAGTTTTTTTTTTAATCTGAAATAACTCATTAATATTTAAAAACATCTGAATTGACACCTCATTGTGAGATTGAAAGGCGAATGCTGATAGAACATACAGTGCTGTCAATTACGGAGAACCAAACATAGTAAATTTAGAGACCTAGATTAAATTATTTATTTTATGTTTAATACCATTATTATAACATTGCATGCGTTAATTCCAAACTGTAGGCATGTTCAAGTATAAACTAGCAGAGAGGGAACTGGAGATTATGAATAAGTTTAAAAGAATGGTATAAATGTCATGCTGTATAACTCTAAGTGAGGTTTCAGCATAATGTTTTTATGGACTCTTCTAGTAATAACTGTTTTTTCTTGAATAATACTCATAAAGCACAAACAGTTACGGATTATACTGTCATTCGTATATGGTAATGTGTACAGTAGTACAATAAAACAATTAAATTGTTTATAATCCTGCCTCATTGAATTACTTTGTATTTAATTTGACGAGGCAAAATTAATGAGACGATATGATACTACCACAACTAAACGATTGATTATTGATTTGTTTCCATTGTCTTGTGGGCGAGGACAGGCTGGTCAGCAAGTAGCTGAACTTGATAAATTATTCGATCGATTAGTTAATATTGCTATGAAGGGCAGAAGTCGACATGAGCCGCCGATTACAATATCTACAACAACGTTTACACTGTCGATGAAAAGGTTGTCTGTCCGGGATCTTGATCAGAACTCATTGAAGGCAGGGGGAGGGCAGTTCAATGTCCCTCCATGTGAGGTATTACTTGGAGAAGAATTGTGTTCCCAAGAAAACGATATCGATTTACAGGTATGAAAGAACAGGTCATGAAATGCATTGGATTCCCAACTGTTTTGCATATCCATTTAGTATCCAGTATTGTTTATTTTTATTCACATGGAAATAGCATCAAAATCATCGGCTATGGATAAAAAGACAGTAATAATAATCAATCAAATATAAGTCATGAGATAGGGATAATGAAAATCAGGTTTTTTTTACAGTTGCGTCCAGTTACCTCATCTAGTGGAAATCTGTATTAAAAGAAAATTATTATGCATCTTTTTTTCAGGTAAAGGAAACTTTTTCAAATCCGTATAATTTTGGAAAATCTGTAAAACGAATTTCTTCAGATAGTAAACTTTTGAGCCTATCATTTGCAAAGGAGGATGGTGTAGGACATACTGTCGAAAACATACGGGAACCCATAGAGATTATTGTTCCGAGGAAGACAGCACAGGTTATACAATGGCAGGATGTCAATGCTGATCCAATCAACGAAAAATTTAGAATGTACCATAGAGTGGACATTGCCAACTCGGATACATCAATCACAATAGATTTTCAACCTCATTGCATTAATACTACTTATGAAATAACTCTGGCGCATGAAGATTATCCAGATAGCCAGAACAACATATTTGTTGAAATGATTTACGCAACAAAAAACGTTGAAGGTAATGGGATCTACAGAAATTCATTTCTGTAAAACACACATTTGTTGTGATACGTTCATGTTTTTTTCACATATCCAGGATAATCATCTAATATTTATTGCTGGCATTAGGCAAAAAGGCCTTGAAAAGTGCATTTATAAAATCTGAAAAGCAAAACATTTAATTAATTTGCTATTTATTCTCCAAACTAACTGCTTTGAAAAGCAAAACGTTTCAAAAGATTCTACTAATAAAAAGGTTTTGTATTTAAATCTTTTGTATTTAGGTATTTTCATTGTAAAACCATTGCAATGACAGCTAATTTTTTCAAAGAGAATAATGAAAACAAGTAAAAATACAAACAAATAAACAAAATGTATGATGGTGCGTTTAATGTTTTTTTAATGTTTGATGATTTTTTTAACGTAGTAATTTGTAATTACTAGTGCATTGTTTTAAATTGTGTTAATTTTTTTAAGCCTAACAAAAATTATAATATGTTATTGAAATAATCAATTTTGAATAATATATTTTTATATACCATTAATTCAATTTCTAACTTTTTTTTAAAATTTGTAACTCATTAACTTTCTAAAACAATTTATTAGTAATAATTGAAATTCAGTACTTTTAAGTGACTATCTTTTGATGTTTTTTACTAAGTAATTGCAATATATTTTTATATACCATTAATTCAATTTCTGACTTGTGATTAAGAGTGTATATTTTTAATGTGTAAATCTCGTAAGTGCAACGTTTTCAGCCTCTAGGCTGCTTGTTTTGCATGTTTTATACCCAAATAAATGAGCTGACTACACTGTTGTTACAGGTTATGTGTATCGTATATTCATTTCATCAAGCATCATCGGGCCTAGGACTGGAGTGTTTTATTTGGGTGTGGCAGAAATAATCGACGATGAAGAGGCGGATGATGGCAGTAGCTCGTCTTCTTCCGTATTCATAGTCCAGGAAGACGTTCTTATATCTGAAACTTTCACTTGTAATTATAGTGTTCGAATCTTCGTATCTGGTTGCAATTTTTGGAACAAAGAGGAGGAAACATGGAGTAGTAGTGGATGCAAAGTAAGTTGTTTACTGTTTACCATTATTTTCTAATGTACATTATAGACTTACAATTTACCATTAGTTAATCATGTTGGCAGGGCATTGGTGCCTCTTTAAATTTAATTAATTCTAATTGATGAGAAATTTTAGAAAACATCAGTAATTTCAAATCATTTTGGGATAGCCAATTGTTGTCTGTTTCTGGTTTTTTTTTTTTTTTTGTATTATTTTGTCTAAAGTATCTTTATGAAATAGCGATAATACAAAATTATATACTTTAGTTAATAGTGCACCTGTTGACTATAGTTTCTGTTGTTGGTCATAATGAATTTATTAATATTGACAGGTTGGACCTGAAACCAGTGTGTCCTATACCCAGTGCTTGTGCACACATTTGACAACCTTCGCCAGTTCTTTCATCATTCCACCAGCACCTTTGGATTTTGATTACATATTCGCAAATGCTGACTTTCTTGACAATATTGCTATATATGTAACGAGTATAGTCATCTATGTCTTATTCATCCTTATTTTTATCTGGGCAAGAAGAAAGGATAAACAAGATGAAGAGATGGTAAATATAATCAACATTGTTCATTTATAATTGGAAGCATAGACTTTAGTAAAATAAAAAATAATAAACTGTCTTTATAATCAAATATACTTGTATAGTTTCTCGGCGCCAGCGGGCCGTCAAAGGGACAAATTTACAATTCATCCTAAACCATAAACCTTCTCCCAATAAACACCACCAGGTATTTTATTCTGGGAATCTGCGTGGCTGTAGATGGATGCTTCCTTCCTCCTCCCTCCCCCAACCCATGGCCGTCGGTGGTAGTCTGAGTGGATCATGCTGAAACGTTCTCTTGTGTCATTTATCATCGCATCGGAGTTTCATAGGACTGTATCGCCTGCCGACACTGACAAAGTGTCCGCCAGATTATTGCTGCCTATCATAATTAAAGACTAACATGGGTATACTGTATATGAATACAACATTAATATTTAAACAAACGTTTATCAACCTAGGTTGGAATGGTACCGTTAGCCGATAATGAAATTAATGATAGGTATTTCTATGAAGTTACTGTTTTAACTGCTGATATTCCTTCAGCCGCAACCAAGTCAAAGGTACGTATTTATTACAACTGATTTTATAAATATGGAGAAAAATAAATTATTATTACTTTATATCACACAGGTTGAATGTTTTTGTTATATCAAGATGCTTGTTCATCTAGTTAAAATAATCATTTATGGGTCAACATATACTATATAAAGAAGCTAGAGTATTACATTCCTACTTTAGTGATACCAGGTACACTCCTGCCTGGTAATCCTGTTTTCCTGCCCTTTCCATGGCCATGTCTTGAAATATCACCAGCTATACACAAGTACATTTTACGTCCAAAGTAAATCTCATCATGGCTCTCATTACATTTACAGACAAACCTAACATATTTTATCGCTATATTCATTATTTACATTAACTTATTTTAATAAGTAATGTTTGAGTCAACAATGTCTCGTCAACCAACTCCTACATCACAAAGTACAGTTACATTTATACATGCAGGATACAGTTGATAGTAATACAGTACTGTATAAAAAATGTATGTGTGCTTTAAATACAAACATTGTACTGAAAACTCGCAGGTCAGCTTAATCGTCAGTGGTTCAAATGGTGATACAGGTGTGAGGACATTTGACAAAATCAAGAGACCGATTTTCAAGAGAGGTGCGGTGGACAAGTTCTTATTATCAACATCAAGGTAAAATTTATGGCATGCGTATTTGACAAAACATATAACTTTAGGGTGACATATCCGAGCAATAAAGACTATCGTTAAACACCTGTCATTATTTTGTATAATATATTTATATACTGTATACCACGGTGCCACTTTGGTAAAAAGCATCAACAATGCTTTTAATTTGTTTCCCTCAAACCAGAGACATTGGAACCCTGGAAGCAGTTCGCGTTTGGCATGACAACTCAGGAGAGGGAAAATACCAGAGCTGGTTTTTACATTCAATAATTTTACGGAATATCATAACGGGCGAAGTGTACAACTTCTTGTTCAACAACTGGTTATCTCTGACAAATGGAGACGGATTAGTAAGTTGATGACTACTCTCTCAACAGTTATATCTGTATCACATATGATTTACTTAGTACACAGAGGGTGAATCATCGGCCTATTTATCATAATTATTTTAAAAATCATCATACTGTCGTTTTGAGTATAGTTTACTTTTTATATTAAGTAAATGTATTTACATTAGATGGATATGTGCGCTATATAAAACTGCACTATTATTATTTATTATTATTATAAATTTATGAAAAAAATACTACCAAATGTACTAATGCAACTTGCAAAGTTGCATTTTTTGTTTTAAAAAAAATAAAATAGACTTATTTTCTAAATAATATTGATATTCATCATAAGGTTGTGCGTTCGAGTCTCACTGCTTCAACTTCAGAAATGAAAGCGTTCAGCAATTTGTTCGGTGGGCATGCTCGCAAAGCTATTCGAGATGATCATTTGTGGTTCTCCATTTTCTTGAGACCGCCAGTGAGTACATTTACTCGACTACAGAGGGCAGTGTGCTGTATGATGGTAATATGGTTGGAGATGCTAGTCAATATTATGTGGTATAAAAGCGTTCCACCACCGGAAGCTACCAAGTCAATAAGTCTGGGACCAATAAAGATCACTACGGCAGAGGTATGTGTTTTACATTCAATTTGCAAAACAAGTATTCTACTCTGCCCCACCCCCAGAATTTGTTCCTGCCGCTGCTGCTAATGCCGCCAGCTAATTAATCATTAATAGATTTAGTATAATTTTAATAGTCGATATTTTAATTTTGTTGAGGATTGGATTGATCCGCGTGCTGATTATAAAACAACAACCTGTGACCATTCAAATACTCACGTACTTGTATCAAAATCCTTTTTAGATTGGTGTCGGAATCATGTCAAACCTTATAGTTTTTCCAGTTAGCATTTTAATTATCGCAGTCTTCAGGAAAGCTCGAAGTAGAACACGATCATCTGTATTTACTGAGATAATTCAGCAGAGAAAAAAGGTAGACTCAGTATTTGCTATGTAGTTTAGTGTACCACAAAATAGTTTACAATTGTGTTGTAATTGACCTGTGTCTAGGAGGTCATTATAATTTCACATGAACCATTGAATGAGGATGTTTTATTTTCTATTTCTTGCATTATACCAACAATAACTTCATAAGAAACATCAATATTGTGTTTATTAACGTTTCTAGAAGTAAAACTAATTTTACAACGTAAATTTCATTTAGGTTAATGATGTAAATGCAAACTTAGATGGTGCAAGTGAATTGGACAACGTTGTTGTATCTGAAAGCTACTCTGATACAAAAATGAATGAGAAAAATTATGGAGTAATAAGAGATAACAGCAGCTCACTAAGAAAAAGGAAAAAACTACGTAAAAAGAAGAGAAAGACATTTCCGTGGTGGGTTATAATCCCTGCATGGACAGCAGCAGTGTGTACCATTTTAGTGTCAACTCTTTTTGTCATATTCTACGCAATTCAAATGGGTAATGAAGAGGCTTGGGCGTGGTTAACATCATTATGTGTATCAATATTTGCTGGAATTGTATTCACTCAACCAATCAAGGTATTTTTAAAATCTTATTTTATGTACTTATGCCTATCACAAATTTCAGTATAGAATATTCTATCTATATTAATTACAGTGCCGCGTCCTTAGTCATGAGAATAGCAAAATTTTCCCCCAGTTTTTGATCCATTTCTTTGCATTTGAAAGCCGGCTTAAAATATTACCTAAACTATTATCGAATACTCATCTACGAAGTCAAGCTGATTTCCTTAGTTGTTTTGAACCACTGAATTGAGATAATGTAAATCACATGGATGTATTTGCATTATGCCATACATGTGGCCGATGATAGTACTAATTGTCAAAAATATAGTTTACTTTACTACTAAAAATAGGCTAATTTTACAGTTATTTCTAGTGCTGATTTTTAGTAAGCCTATATGTAATATCGACAAATACTCAACAGGTTGTTTTTACAGAAAAATAATTTTTTAAAAATGCAATGTTTACGAATTACCACTATAAAAAGTAAAATGAATCGTGGTTTCGTGGTCTTTAAAGGGATTGGTAATTGCGGTGATTTTTGCATCGGTATGTAAATTACAAGTACAAGATTCCGATGATGAAGACAACGAAGATGATATTCCAGATGAATTAGAAGAAAACATTGAACAAGTTGATGGTCAAGCAGTAACCAATGGTAAACATGGTAGAGAAGGTAACGTGTGGTAGTAGCAGCAGTAGTAGTGCAGCAGCAGCAGCATATAGGTCCATGATGATGATGATGATGATGATGGTGGTGGTGGTGGTGGCGGCGGTGGCGGTGGCGGCGGCGGCGGCGGCGGTAGTAACAGCAGCAGCCGTAGTATTAGTTGTTAGCAGCAGCAGTAGTAGTAGTATTGGTGGTAGTAGCAGTAGAAATAGTTATAGTATTAAATATAGTTGATGAAGGTATAATGTATGTTTATATTTGTTACAGATGTAAAAGTTAACACAAATTCGCCGAATAAAAACTTGAAGAAAGAGGAACTCCAACATAAGAGAAAACAGCGTTTGTACGAGAAGAAGTTGGATTCTATACTTCAGGAAATTTTCTTCCATCTTATTTTTGTTTTCGTTGCTTTTATAATTTGCTACGCTGAACTCGATTCCAATGCTCACAGATACAAATATCATCTTGAGAACACATTCGTTAAAGCATCCTCATTTGGAGTTCTTCCATTTGAAAATGTATGTATATGTTACTCTAAAATATTTTGTACAGTATCTAATTATACCTGGTTTACAGGTTCAATAATCACCTGTTGATCAACATTTAATCATTTTTTGCAGAATATCTGTAACCACTAAGACTTTAGAGCCCCGCATCCCAAACCTGTTTTCTGGGACCCAAGTTGTGATTTCCAACATTAGCCGTGACCCATCTAATATTTTGATAGTAAATTGCACAGCGACCTTTATAAAATCCCCTAAATTTAATTCTCATGTTTTAAAAACGACGGTATTATATCGTGTTTTGATACTGTACTAATATACAGTGGCAGATTGTATGATTTTGGCACCTCTATATAGCCGGAATTAAATGGCACTCTCAGACTTATATTTTAATACAATTTTGTTTTTCTCCATTATTTTTTTTTTATTAAAAAAAATACTAAAATACTATTTTCAAGTTGTCAGATCTGTTACAGAAATTACATCAACCGTGTAAATTAGCACATTAATCTATTTTAAAAATTTGAGTAGGGGATTGTCTCCCACACCACCAGAAGGAACCTGTCATAAATAAAGGCCAACTCAGACAGCGTGTGAGTTAAACACAGACACGATGGTGTGCGTCGGGGGCAGTCGCGTCGTAGAATATTAAACATGTTTAATATTTCTCACGACGGCTTAAGACTGTTCCCGACGATAAATCGGGTCGGGTTGCGTCGGCCGACGCTGTCTGAGTTGGCCTTAAGTCTTAGGATTTCGTGGGCTGTCCTCTGTTTGTATCACACCAAAGAAATCCAATTCAATCCTTCAACCAATTATTGGTTGTGGCTCTACATGTATTTGATGCTCTACACTATGCAATTATTCTCCAGATGTCTGCTCTACTTGTGTTTCATTTAGTAAATTAAAGTGTCAATAATGGGTCCATAATATGTTTTCACAACACAACAAAGAAACAATCCAATGCATGTAGTTCATTAGAAATAAATAATATGTGACTACCCGTAAAAACAACCAATAATGATTTTTTAAACTATTTATAGAGAAGCAAAACATACGAGTATCATTAGGATATACAAGAGAAATATATGCTATGATGTACACAAATTGAAAATATATACTAAATGGAATTTGAGGACCAAAATTTTCTTTTTTTTTCCTATTATTATACAGTTATCGCATCCTGGAAATTTTTGGTTATGGATGAGAAAAATATTTTTACCTGGGGTATATGCGCCTTCTATTTCCAATAATAGCTACCTAGATAATTCAGACGACATTATGGCGGACGAAATGTCTTATATTCTTGGCTATCCTGTTATAAGACAGCTTAGAGTCAAACCAGGCAAGTTTAAGTAACGTTCTAACGCAATACTATACATTAAAATGGAAGATTTTAGTTTAGTATCATGATATTTATAGTTACATATTTGTCTATCAGCCTAATTTTACGTCACACTAATATTTTTGTGTGTAACACTGCATGAGCTAAATATAAAATACGATATTTTTTAAATAATAGAAGCTACAGTATTGTGTTGAATAAAATTAACGTATCTTCATATACCAGACGTGATTTATGAGACAATCATATTGTATTTTCTTTTTATCTAGATCTCTGTAGTTTACACGAAACAGTAGCAAATATTTTTAATGAATGCAACATTGGTTACTCGGTTATACATGAAGATATGGATAACTACGGGCCGCACTGGACAACATTCAATGAATCTCATGTATCAAAACCATTCACATATCGAAACGCGAGCGAAATCAACGGCTATCCATTTGTTGCTCGCCATGCTATCTACAGTGGTGGAGGTTACATACTCAAAATGAAAGGGAGAATGACCAAAATTGTCAAAAACTTAGACTTTCTTTTTAATACACGCTGGTTTGATAAGTATACACGAGCTGTGTTTATTGAACTTTTCTTGTACAATCCTCAAGTCAATCTCTTTGCTTCTGTAATTCTAGTTCTCGAGGTATTACCAACAGGTGGTTCTTATCCGTATTATAGAATTGATGTTATTCGGTTGTTATCTAATGCAGACGGATTCAGATACATTGTAATCATATGCAACGCAGTGTACTTTATATTCACTCTTTCTTTTATTTTTAATGAGTTTAGAAAAATTTTCAAAGAGAAGAAAAAGTACTTCTTGCAGGTATCGAACGTTTTGGAATTTTTGATAATGTTTTTTACAGTTTTTTCGGTAATATTATTCATTATGAGAATACAAATTGTCAATTCCATTCACAAAGAAATCGAAGAGAAAGAGGGCTCTGGCCATGTCAATCTAGCGTTGGCTGTATACTTTAATGACATATTTACTTGTCTGTTAGGTTTCATCCTGTTTTTTGGAACATTGAAATTTCTGAAACTTCTACGTTTTAACCAGTATATTGCAATATTTTTCAGGATATTTCAATCTTCAGCAAAAGATCTCATAAGCTTTTTTATTTTCTTATCCATTGCATTTCTTGCATATTCATCACTTTTCTACTTAACGTTCTCAGTGATTCTTCATGATTATGCTAGTTTTTTTACGGCAGTAGAGTCGATTATTAACACTGTTATGGGCAACTTTGACGTCAAATCTATCACTTCTGCAAACAGAATTTTAGGTCCAATCTATCTGTTTTCATTACTTACATGTTTTGTGTTTTTATTTTTCAACATGTTTCTCGCAATTATAATGGATGCTTATGAAGTAATGGTAGGCGGATGCGCATTACAAATTACTGCATCAAACATCTGGGAACACTTGAAAAAGAAATGTATAAAGAAAATAAACACATGTTCTGAACCAATTAAGGATGTGGAAAATGACAATGAAAATGACGTAACAGAAAAACATATTAATTTACAAAATAGCATAGATATGTTACATATACATGTTACACAAATGTTTCAAAATGAGCTTGAATATTGCAGTCAAATAGAAAAAATCGAGAAATGTATATTTGCTTCAAATAAATGCGAATAAATGACTCAGAGATCACAGGAAGTTATCACTTCTCTAGTAAGCAACATAATGAGTGGATTTAATATCCGTTTGTGTCTTTAGGCATACAATCAAGATTTTTATGTGTTTTTATGAGTTGAAAATTCCCTAGTAAGAGAATCCAGAGCTTGATTTGGACCATTACACAATGTGAATCTTATTCAATTAACTCAGGGAAGAGGACTTCCTAGGTCACCGTGGTCTATGGGATAAACTAATTCCTATTAAAATATAAAAAAAATGACTAAATAATAATAATAATAATAATAATAATAATAATAATAATAATAAGCTTTATTTAAAACACGGAAAGTTATTATTCTGCAAGGCCGTGTATACAACAATTTAACCAGAAAATCAAAAGGAAAAAAAAATGACTTAAAATAAACAAATCAAACAATTGTTTAAACACACAACTATCTAAAAAAGACTTAAGTCTTAAACTAAATTAATTACACTAAACAAACTTGAACAAAACAAAAATACTGTAGTTTATGTAAGAAAACCATAAAGGTGTTAAACAGTTGAGTGTTACAATGTCGCAATTATATACTTTTTGTAGTCAGTTTTTGGTTTTGGCAATATTAATTCTGGTTTAGTTAGAGACAAATCTGTTAGATACACGTAAATAATGAGGTACAAGGTTACCGTATTCATAATCTTATACATAGTGATGGCTTCATTTATATACAACCTTTGGTCTAAATTCATCCATTTAAGGCTTTGCAGAGCTTGAGTACTGGAATCACTTCTCGATTTGTTTAAAATAATTTTAGCTGCACGGTTTTGTAGAACTTGGAGAGTTTTACTTTGTATTTGATTTGTACATCTCCATACAACATGGCAATATTCAATGTGCATCCCGCGAGTGATTTGTATAGTTTGCATTGGACATCTTAGGAAAGAATTTGGCTGGCTTTTTTCAGATAGTACAAGCTCTGCAAAGCCTTCGATTTTACATGATCTCTTTGTGGACACCAAGAAAGGCTCTTATCTAGTATTACACCAAGGTGTTTACATTGACTGACATGAGTAATAGGCTCTCCATCAATGTTAATATTTACCTGAACATTTTATAATTTAGCTAATTTTTGCCTTGTGCCTATTACCATGTACTCTGTTTTTTTAACATTTAAACTTAGATTCTTTGTTATAAGCCATCTCTTGAGTTCTATCAAGTCGTTATTAATTGTAGAAGTAAGGTTATTAATATTTTTATCTATACAATATACTGCAGTATCATCAGCATACATAAGTAGCAGATTTTGATATTTCTGTAGGCTTATTTAGCTGTGGTTTACTATAGGTATAAGCATATAATATGATTGTAAAATGGTATTTTAGCATATTGGCAACTAGAGTTAATCAATAATTTCATTCATCTGTTACTCTAATTCATGACATATGATTCAATTTGAGTTTGTATTAATTTGCATCTCACCACATTCCGGTAAAGTTATGCCTATATATATTTACATATAAAAGTTTATACGTGATATATAATCGTTGGTATCACAAAGTAAATAATAATAGGTCACATTACTAATTTTATTTTTACTAGGACCAACAAACTTAACAGAGGTTAAATGGTTCCGTATGAATTATTCCCTGGTTAATACATTAAGATCAATATGATATGATTATACACGGGACAATGCATTTAGCACTTGCTAAGATGTCATCAGATGAAATCCCAATAGTCTGAGGGGTGTAATTGCACACGATGTCACAATTGGATAGAAGTACAGTCAAGTCCGAGAACAAATTGTAGAAATCAGAAGAATGTAAAAATGGACTAAAATGAGTGATATAAAATCTTTATTAATATTTAAAGCTACATTTTGTTTAAAGATTTTAAATATTTGACTTTTAATTGTAAATTTGTAGTAATTCAGTTGTTTTTAGTTTTACTGCCTATATACAGTAGTATTACACTTGAATAAAGTTTTTTTTAATTGAATTTACACTGGCTCAATATAAAAAAACCAGCTATTTTCAAGTTACTTTTGTTGACTTTCAAGTCACTTAGCTTTCATCTGTTTATTTACTCAATCACCTTTCCAAATATTCTCCTCTTCGTCATCTTCGTTCTTCATCTCAAAATCTCTTGACTGTTCCGCCTCGTAAAGGCAAATCAAAGACTTATGGTCAACATGCTTTTTTCTTTTTAAGCCCCCTTTATATGGAATTCCTTGCCGCTTTTTGTTCGCGATTCGTCTTATTTGCTTTCTTTTAAAAAAATTTTAAAACTTAACTTACTAGAACGTTAACTTGCTTTAGCTTTATTTCCTCACCTAGCGCCTTTGATAAATTTTTGAATTGGCGCTATATAAGTATTTGTTAAATAATAATAATAATTATTATTATTATTATTATTATTGAATTTATCTATATATCCATCCTCCATCTATTTTCTCTATAAGCCAAACATTATTATTTATCGTAACCAAATTTTATGCATCAGTACTAGAAAATATACCAGTCATAAGCTCACCCTCTGTAGCATGGAAGATTATGGAACAGCATGGTAGAATCTATTAATTCTGCTAATCGCCACCGCGTAACTTCCCCCAGACAAAACATACTAAATATATTGGGTGACTATCAAAAACTTTATTCTGCCAATTTTATACATGTCTTTGATTTGTCACAATGAAATTGTAATAAACCACTCAATTTAGTTCAGAACTATGACAACAAAACAAATATATAAAATAATTAGTACAGTAATACAGTATGTATATGATCATAAAAACATGAAAATGAAAGACACATTATAAAGCTGGAATGTTAAACCCCCGCCCCCTCTCCCCAAAAAAAATAATCATAAGTGCAAACACTACTGTACATTCAAGGTGCAGTGGATGGAATATCAGTATTGCATATATTCTACTTGCACAACCCCTTGTTGATCAGAATCAGAATCATGGTGATCATCAGACAATTTTCAAAAAGTACCTAGTATTCTCTTGAATAATAACTGTCCAAGTTATATACTTTCCTCCAAGTTTCAAAACCGTAATGATTAGTGTTCAACAGTCTGCCTTTTATTCTGTCATTTCAAAATTGTCAAGTTGGTAAAATACATTTAATCAAATCAAATTTTTATTAATTTTGAATTACTTGCCCTTTAGTATGAACATTTTTATGAACATTTTTTTATGCGTTGTTTTTCATTTTTATGTGCATGAAGCACTTTGCCACCTTATGTTTAAAATGGTATTTATTTGGAATTACATAACTTTTCAGTCAGTTACATTGCATTCCTCTATAGCTGGCAAACTCTTATTGAACTTAGATTACACAATACAGTATTGTACATCATTTAATAAAATATTGATGATACAGGGCACATATGCCTACAAACTGTGCAACCTAAAAGCGATGTCAAGAAGGTACAGTAATCTCTAGATAACGCCCCTGCTAGAGTTTGTAGCTTAAACTACGTTGAAAATACAATCGTAAAATAAATTATAAAAATATGCCATTGCAATAATTATCACATCACGATTTATATATTTATTATCTAAATCATTTCACTGTCATTTAACTCTATTGACAGTAACACAGCAATCTTATAAAATTCAATGTGTATGTTAACCACAGGTCAAAGGTACCAAATATTAGGCTTTTGAATTTGGTTATATATATCTTAAACACATGATATATTTGTAAATAAAAATACAAAAAATGTTTATGTTCACCTTACAAACATAAAAAATATGATAATATTATTTTATGAACATATCATATTATTTCATTAACATATATTATTTTATTAAAATATATTGTTTTATAAAAAATACCATAATATTTTATTTAAAATCATATTACTTTATTAAAATATTATATTTTACTATCGTCTTATATACATTTGTTGTACAGTATATTATTTATTTCTTAAAAAAGCAGCTCACTGTTAGTGAGGGCACATCTTTCTATTAACAAGTGTTAAGAACTCTACTTTTTATTGTCAAGAGTTAGTAAAACACTTGCCAACTGTAGAAAGTGCAGAAAATCTTTCTATACCGTAGTTAGTGAGTGCGTAAAAACTTTCAATTGTCAGTGAGTGCATAAAAAACTTTCTATTGTTAGCAAATATATAAAATACTTCTTAAATGTAGGGAGTGTGTAAAACACATTACGAGGCTATTCTGGAAAATATATTTTTTTAAATTTATTTATTACATTTTAGGATAAAGCAAAACACAACAAAAAGTCCTCCAAGGATTACCAAAAGGTACAACACTATCAGGGGATCTCCAAGGCAAACAAGTAAGAATAAATCAGGATGAAGAATAAATTGTGGAAAAAAAAATACATTTAGGTCTTAGAATACAACAAAACATACACAGTAATTATTAAAAGCGAATATTCAATGAAAAAAAATTTACAATTAATTCAATAATTAATTAAAACTACTACAAAAACATTATAAGAGCAATTCAATAAAAATTTTATTCGATCAATAAAATCAATAAAAAATGCATCAACAAAAATAAAATTTATGAGCAATTCATTAGACAAAAAAGTGAAAAAATTCTATCAATAATAAATTACATTAGATCAATTAAATTCAATTAAACATTTACATTTCATTCAATTAATTAGCAATTCATAAAAAGATTTACAAACCATTCAATGAGAGAATGATAGCTGCAAAAAATAAAGATGGATTTCAAAATTCCAGGCGCCAATAAAATGACGTGTCTCAATCAGGTCGTTAACCTCAATTTCCTAACTACACAAAGTCGGTGAATGTTGAATTAATATAAACTTGAGCATAAGGACTAATAGAGTATGAGTATCAATGTTATATACATAAATCCATCTAAAAATTAAACATTAGTGTTACAACATAATAAAACCTCCCGGATATATATGATACAGTAATGTTGTTTCAATCATCATCCTGGTGTCACATATGGTCAAGGATTGACTCTATAGCTCTGAATGGTCATAGAACAAGCTCCGCCTTCGTCGTCTTCGAGCGTCTGGATAAGTGACTTGGAATCTACCTTGATCCAAGGAACTGGAGACAAATAAAGCACCACCCTTGACAACACCATGGTGACTGTACAGGCCCTGATCAAGTATCAAAGTTGATCCTACAATTATAATAAAAATCAATGCTGAGATTCAACTGAAATCTAAAATATCTATAGATCAATCATTGTAGAACTGTTTAATCAATAATAAACCAAGCACAATTTGCTGTAAACTTATTGTCTATGATACATATTGTCACATAAAATTGTGCTTGGTTTATTATTGAATGAAGTTTTAAAATCATTATAAGTAAACCAGATGAAACTATTTGAATATTTATAAATTAATCATCAATGAAAGCATTATCATTATCGTCACAACATCATAGTTGTAAATTATTGTCTTCATCATCGTCATCGTCCTAATACTTAGCCTGCCAGTGGTGATGATTCCCGGTTAGACTGAATGAAAAAAATAGAATGAAATCATCATCACCACCTATTATTATGATCTCAACCTTACCTTCTTCTTCATTGTCAAGTGAGTAGTGGGCCTCCAGAAGTCGTTTATGTCTTTGTCGCTCCAACCCAGCCAACTCCATATGCTCATCTATTTCGCTATCTAGCAAAGCCAAACCCCAAATCCGTATCTATGAAAATAAATTTACTCTAATCAAAGGTGATATTCGTAGTCTGTCGTAAGACATTAGGTTCAACCAATATACACCACTTTTATGTTTATGAATATTAACTATACAATGATGGAAGTGATGAAAGCATTTAAACATCAAAAGACAACACAGTTACTATAAAACCTCGAATTGAAGACAAGTGGATTTAATCTCGAAAAGAAGCCCATAGTCGCGAATTGAAGCCCCCCTCTTCTCAGTTTGCAATATTAGCCTCAAAAAGAAGCCCATCTCAAGATAGCATCTGGCTTCTTTTCGAGATAGTACAGTAAACAAAATGTACATGAAATTCAAAGAAACAAAATAAATTTTTTAAAAATGGAACAGCCCTTGGCAGCGCGAGGAATGGGCGGCGCCTGAATGAACTGCTTAAACTGGTCCTCGGGGACCGAAAAAGCAGCCGTAAGACGCCGCGGCGCGGCAACTGGCTTGGATTTCGCTTGGGAATTCAGGCGAAGGATGAGGTCCGGGTGGAGTCCCACAACCGGGACAGGGTGGGTGGGACGCGCAGGAGCAACAATAAAAAAAAAAAGGATATCTTGTCAAGTTGAAAATAAATCCAAGGCAAAAATAAGACTGCTAGTAATTTCAAAGGCTAGAATGTATCCAACTTCGAACAACGTCGAAAAGGGAATGAGGACGTTTGTTAGGGAGACGGTTCACACGTGGCGCGTTGGGTCGGACTGTTCCATTTTTTTCGAAGGGGTGTTCCGTTTTGGGAACAATGGCAATTAGGCGGTTATCCAGGTAAGTATTCAAGAAATAGACTAAGTGATTTAATGCTGGTTAATACACTTGATGTTACATTGGCCCTATTTATTGTTTTATAGTACTAATTCTGAAAATTTACAGCATTCATTTTGAAAAGAAGTCCCCCTCTTTACTTTTCAAAAGTGGCCTCGAAAAGCCCATTCAAAGTTCACAAAAAAGGTTTAACAGTACTGTATATTTATAATTAGTATAAAGGATATTTGCTTTAGGAACTTTATGAATCAAAAGATTCATGAAGCTCCGTGCTTCCTGTGACTGAGGGTTCTGCAGCTTTCTGGGACTTTGGCCTTTGCCAATGATACATAAGTAGCTTATATACAATTTCACCAGGTCTCAAAAAGTGTGTTTGAAAACAGGCATTTTGATAACAATTGAGTTAATATTAGTTTGATCAGTTTGTTTCGACAATCATTATTCGGCCTGGGCAATCATTTGTTGGGCCTTAGGTCAAAGATCACTACATTTGGGTGCTCTGCAGACTGTTGCATAAGAACACATAAATGTTAATACACATCTCTTGAATGATTATTTGATTCTTCAATACCTCATCCATGATTCCATTAAAGAAAGTTGCATTATCTTTTCCGAGGTACAACCGTGTCTCATTTTCACTGTAAGATGTCTGAAATTAATTTGTTAAAAATCAAAATTAAACACAGTTCAAAATGATGTCTTCATTTTACAATCCAAATACCTGTAGTTCTTCCTATCTGAGCAGCCATTAATATGTTGAAGTACTTTAGCAGCTTGTGGACTAAAGATCAAATTAAACCTGTTTACACTGGTTCCACAAGAATGGGGCTAGCCCCACAAATGCTGCAGACTGTACCTCAGTTCAACAGTGTTCTTCAAAATTTGAAAAAAATTGCTTAATAATGGTACAGTACAGTAGTATCAATATATAATTCAAATTTAAATTTTAATAACAATTTATGTATGGCTTAATAATACATCATTATTACTACTTTTAATAATACTAATAATAATTGTGTAGGTATGGTTTAATAAAATCAGTAAAACACCTTCTAAATAAATGTTCACATCACTTGGTTGGTTAAACCTTGGTGATGTATTGATCAAAAATGATCACCTTTAGTATTTAAGTGTTTAAATTAAAATGTATGAAACACAGTGAATTGCATGATTATCAGACACGAAATTCAAATGATTATATTATATCTAAATGTCGTACTAACTTGAGTCGTAATTCTATTAAATATAATGGAGCTAAATTGTAGACCTCGCTCCATCAAGATCTAAAAGTTGCATCTTCAACCTCCCTTTTTAAATTAAAATTTAAACAATACTTATTATCTACTTATGCTGCGACTTGATTTATTTTGATAAAGAATAGACCAGTGGTTCTAACGTAAATATAAACAGGGGATTAATTGAAGCATTTTCCATTGCTTTTATTTGTTTTTATATATTTCATATTTAAATTTACTGTATTTATTTGTAAGGGGTGGGTCATTCTTAAAGCCTTAATTGGCTTATCTGACTCACCCACCACACTAAACTGTAATTAATGAAAACAAATTTGTATTGATGTACATTCTTGAACTTGTGTGGAAATAAAAACATTTGATTGATTGATTGATACCGACTGTGCTTGAATTTGATAAAACACTGCTTCCTAGTTGAGCATTGAGTGTCCTTTAAGATAATTATACGTATTCAATATACCTGTATTAATATATATTTATTTTCCTACTGGGAAAACGCTACTGTTTCTGTACTGATTTTACATGCAAGTGTAAAAAACAAAATCAAACTGTTTAAAACACCAAATCAAACTGAAAGCAAATCAAACTCACCCATTTTCTATGTAAAAACAGAGCTCCCTAGTCAGTGTACAGATAATTGGCATTCTAGTTGCTGGGTAGCCAGTAGGTAAGTTGACCCATGTTTCTAATGTAAAGCTGCCAGATATGCCTAAGTTGGTAATGTTGTTTAAGATCACATAATCATCAACACCATCAAAATATAATGCTTGGTTTATCCTAGAAAAAAAAGTAAAAGAATCTGTAGAGTACAACAAATAATAATTTCCATCTGGCAGAATATTTTACAATCATTGACGAGACTTTTATACGGAAGCTTAAAGGTGCCATCCCAGATGTCTAGATAATTATCTTGTCATGTCTACATCCTGTAGAAAAAAAGATCAGATGACGAGATCCTTGATCGTCATGTCTACATTCTTCTGAAGAGATGATCACATGATGGGATGCCGGATCTTGTCATGTCTAAATGAAATGATTAGGTGACGAGATCCTGGATCTTCATCATGTGTACATCCTTTAGAAGAGATGATTAGATGACAAGATCCTGGATCTCGTCATGTGTATATCCTTTAGAAGAGATGATCTGGGAGGTCACTTTAAGCTTCCGTACTTTTAGGTCTACTTGGTGCTTGAGAACTTAAATAAAAAAAAAACAAACCTGTCTGTACACTTGAAAGAAAGCTTGGAGAAGATAACATCAGGCTGTGCATACACCATAACCCCTACACGGCCTCCTGCATATGTGGTATCGTAAATATCTCCAGAATCGGTTAAGGTTGTTTCCTCTTGTTTAATCACAACTCTAAAGCAGAAAAAGAAAAACATTTTATTCTACCATTTCTAGTAAAAATCGAAGGGCCACGTGCTAAATTGATTGATTTATGACACTAAACAAGATTGTTAAAAAAAAACAAATATTATTATGTACTGTCAATATATTATCGTCACAGACTAAAACCTAAATGATAAAATCAATGAAATACAGTACCTTATAAGGCCTATGGAAGGCCTATGGGTTAGATACCAGCGGTAAGATGTCTCATGTTCCCATCCCCTCATCTCAGGATCATGCCACAATAGCTCCACCTCATTAGTTGTAGTGTAGGAGAACCAGAGTGCATTAGATAGCGCAAAAGATGGTCCAGATGACGAGGCCACTTTCTATAATGGAGAATTAGACAAAGCAAACGGTTTGCCAGTAAATCAAATAATGACAAACGTCTCATCATCAATTTCAACATGAAAGTCATCAAAATCTTTTTCCTTATAATTATCACCTTGTTCATCATCACTGTCACCGTTCTGCCACCACACCTTTGACACATTAATCGTCATCATCACCGCACCTTTGACACCATCACCCGCCATCATCACCGCACCATCAACAAAATGACCATCTTCATGTTGTTGCAAATCTATCTTAATTACTTTTGGTGTGCTAAATAATAATAATAATGGTCGACTTATAGAGCGCATATCATAGAGACCTCTATGAGCTTAACATAAATAAGAATACAAATATAATGATACTTAACAAATCATACTCCTTAAACTAAGCATGGTTTGGCCGTTGGCTCCGAGGAGTTCATCTGCAATCAGAAATTAGCAAACAATTTTTATTCCCTAGAACAAAAAATGATGGCATCTCACACACCTTGATCTGAATGCCTTTAACAGCAGCCTTGTAGCTTGGATTATTCAAGTTAGCATGTTTCCACATGACCACGTAGAACTTCCTGTTACTCTGATAACCAAACACGAATCCCATATAGCTGTCACCATTTTGACTGTTGACGTACATTGTCCCCGAGTAATCCATGGCACCCAGTCGATCATATCCAATTAGCATTGTAGGCATTTCAGTGTCAACAATCTGTTGAACTTCTTTACCCTAAAATCAAAGATAATATTAAATCATTTCTTGATTGTTAAATTGAATTTTTTACCACTTACCTCACAATTGTTTATATCAGTAATCCTATGCTGCAGTCCATAATGGGTGAAATAATAAACAAGTACAGATTTAATAATATAACTGAAGATTATAATGTAAATAAAGATTTAATAATTGTGACTGACCAAAACAACTGAAGAATTATTAATTGTGACTGTCCAAAACAACTAAAGAATTATTAATTGTGACTGTCCAAAACAACTGAAGAATTATTAATTGTGACTATCCAAAACAACTGAAGAATTATTAATTGTGACTGTCCAAAACCAACTAAACAATTAATAATTGTGACTGTCCACTTCCTGTACCTCATTTGTGACAACCCAATGGGGTGCTTCAGCATCTGCAAGACTGGTATCTAGATCCACAGTGAAATGTTTTTCAAAGCTTGTGCTCTGGTACTCATTTACTTTCATACAGTTGTCTTCTTCATTGATAATCTTATCGCCATCATAATCATCCTCACATGCATCCCCAAGTCCATCACCATTGCTGTCGGTTTGGTTTGAGTTTATATATAGAGGGCAGTTGTCATCTGAGTCTGTTATACCATCACCATCTTTGTCATTATCACACATGTCACCTGAAAAATAAAGAAAATCTTTACAATACAGTACAATACAATTTAATATCTTCTCTTTTTAAAATTGTCTTTCGACATACAAATTCCACAATATATTTCCATTTTATTCAGTATGTTAGTCTTTAATATAATAATGGAAATACATACTCCTACATCTAATCAATTAAATATCATTACATGAAAATTAAATCATAAAAACAAAGACAAAATAAAAACATACTCACCTACGCTGTCTGAGTCATTGTCAGCTTGGTCTGGGTTTGGAACGGTCTCACAGTTATCAAATTCATTAATCACGCCATCTCCATCACTAAGGAAATATTATTAAAATATGTGATCTGCAATCACTCTTACAGCATATATTTTGCTCCAAAAAATTTAAAAAAATTACGTTTACATATTTATAAAGATTTAACCTTTATGTATAACTAATAAAAACACTAAATAGCAGTCCATTTAAATCACTATAAAACATCCAAACTTTTGGTTTGGTTTGTTGGATAGTTTCATTGGTGTGAAACACAAGGCATAAACCACCTACATCAGAGGACTTTTTGTTCCAGTAGGATTCTTCTGGTGGTCAATGCGCAGATTCAATGCGGGGGGGTGGAGGGGGGACTAAATTTTAAAAATTCAATACACATCAATATTGAGCGTTAAACACTGTGTTTTTAATTAGCACATTGTTAACTGCAAAATATGGCTTATGCCACATTTGATGTTTTTGTCTGAATAAATAAGTGAACCAATTCAACTCAGATCTGAAGTATATAAACTGACTTTCCAAAGGTTTTATGGTAATGAAAGCGATGAACACAAATGTTGCGGGCTGCATTGGACAGACGGTTCTAATAACTCTTCATTATAATTTTAATCTTCATTTATTTTTGTATAAAAATTAAGTTTTTGTTATCTGGACCCCAAGGAAAAACAATGTTCCCACATTGATTGGGTATCCAGTAAAAAGAAAGGTTTCTAATTCTAATTCTCATTAATAATTTAAAGGGTATTTTAACTAACGGTAATAGTCGGTTAACAGACTATGTCCTGTAGAAAGTTGCAGAGTTGTTGGATGTGAATGGAATCTGAAAATAAGAACCTACACATCTTTATCTGTGGCACCAACCACATCACAGAGATCTCCATAGCCATTCTGATCTGTGTCTGTTTGTCCAGCATTAGAGGTGCCAATGCAGTTGTCACAAGCATCACCGACACCGTCACCATCTTCATCCACTTGACCAGCGTTTGCAATGAGGGAGCAATTATCAGATCCATCAACAACTCCTATTGGAAAAATGTTAAACTTCCACTTATTGGACTTATCCAAAGCCAATATACCTATGATGGTCTTGGAACCAAAATGGTATAACCCAAAAACAATTTTTAGAAATAATTATTGTTGAAGTGTAAAAAAATATAAAATTTAAAAAAAAAACTTGTTTTACAAATCATAACATCAATTTTGTGTATTGTGTAAAATTACACAAATCAGTAGTGAGATTAGTTGTCTATGAGTTAGAAACTATACCCAGATAAACTAATTACAAAAAACATTGTCGTCATTCAGTGGGGATGACGTTTATGCAATTATTCAGGCAAGTATTTATGAAATACTGAAGACACCAGTGATTTGCCAATATATGGTGTAATAAAGACATATAATGCCTATATATTTTCTTACTGAAAACAGAAAACATGATATTATGGACAGTGTCTAGCAAACATAAATATATTTGGTTATTCCCAGCTTTCAAAATAAAGCAACATGTAAATATGTTTACCATCGCCATCATCATCATTGTCACATGCATCGCCCATTCCATCTTCATCGGTATCAAGTTGATTGCTGTTCTGGTCACTGGGACAGTTGTCACAATCATCGCCAACACCATCAGAGTCCACATCAGTTTGGGCAACATTTGCAACATATGGACAATTGTCCTATTTACAAGAAAAAAGACATAAAAATATTGACAAACTAAAATTACTAAAAAATTTAAATGTTGAGTAGGGTTGATATATTTTTGGCTAATTTTAAACGTGAAGATAACACTTGGTAAACTAACAAAATTTATAGTAAAAAAGTACAATGTTCTACTCCTTTCATTTTTAATTTGTATTAAAACTACATTCCATATAAATTTCAAATTAAATCTATAGAGCAGTTGCATGATGGAGTGGTTAATCAGGGGTCTGCAACCATATTAATTTATCAGTGCAGTTTTGAGTCATATAGTTCTCACTTACTACAGAAGGTTGACTGAATATCTTTTTATGGCTGCTAGTCTCTAATATACACTTTTATGCAAATCTGCAGAATGTTGATGTGAGTTAATTCCTACTTTTACCTTCATCAATTTTTTAATGCTAAAATTCCTAATATTTAGACTTGTTTCTCTTAATAAGTCACAACTTACACTTTCATCATATATACTGTCATTGTCATCATCTATATCACATATGTCCCCTATCTGGTCATTATCATGATCCTCTTGACCACTGTTTGGAATATTTGGGCAGTTGTCCTGCATGAAAAAAAGGTAGAAAAATGAAATACTTAGCATCATGATCACTGCCTTGTATGAAATAGATGTAATCACAAGGGGGACACCACCATCACCGCAATTATCTTTATCATCTGGATCTGGACGGTACTCTTCAATGCTCCTAAGGAGCAAAGCGAGAAGGCTGGGTGGTGGCCAGTAGCTTCTGTAATATGGATTCCTTAGATGAACAATTATAGCAGTCTTGAACTTTCTCTGTCATGTATTGTTATCATCAACTCATTCACCATTACATTACAATCACAATCATACCATCATTACCATTATCATCACCACAATCATCATTAGCATAATCTTCACAGTAATTTTGTCCAGCATTTTGAACAACCACTATCATCATTTTCAAAATGGCAGTCTTCTGCTGACTTACTCTCTTGCATGATGTATCAGTACAAGGCAGGTTGGTGAGAGGTAATCCATCAGTGTCACTATCAACTCCACAAAACACCCCATTGCCTGCATATCCATCATTGCACTGAAAAAATAAATGTAGTGGTAATAGTTAAGGTAGCTACATAACGGCTATGGTAGTCTCATAGTGTTGGTCGATTCATTGTTATCCTTGTGTTGTAATTGGTATGGGATTTTGGTAGTTAATATTTATAATAATCATGTCCTTGTATTTAGTGGTAGTGGTATTGGTAGCTAGATAGTATGGTCACTATGTTAGTCGTTCTTGCTCATTCATATTCATATACGGTATCCTTGTACTTGTTTTAGTGGTAGTGATTGTTAGCTAATATTAACAGGTTATTGGTTTTTTGGTAAATAAATTTAGGTAGTACTTACTCTATGGTAAGTATCTACATGGTTGTAATAACATTACACTTTACATTATCATATCTTACCTCACAGACAAATTTCCCCGCCCCTGTTGAAGTACATGTTGCGTTGGAATGACAGTTACTGGCGCCTGTGGCACAATAATCCCCATCAGTGCATCCAATATAGCCGTTGCCAAGGTAACCTGAGGGGCAATAACTGCAATAATAGCTCCCCTAAAACAAAGGATAAAAACATTTTGATATGCTCCATAATGCTGTAAGATATCCATAACATTGGTAGAAGGTTATGTTGAGTGAAAATATGTAATAATAAACAATAATTATGTCATCCTATAATGCACACGTATCCATCTCTTGGAGCTGCTCGCAACGCTATATCCACCTGTAGAGAGCTGCAGCCTTTTCTTCTATTTATTTTTAATTTTTTTAAAGTAATACTTCTTTCTATTTTAACAACTTAACTATTGGGCAAAAACAAGTAAAAAATGTATGCAAGATCAGGATAATCCAGGATTTTGTGGAATGGGAGGGATCAGATTGGGATTTTTGGATGGGATGAAAAATTTGATTCACAGATGCTTGACGACTGCAGTGGCAGCAACAGCAGGGTGGGGTTGGTTGAAGGAAGGCAGAAATTTGGGGGCCCCAGAAAACAGTGTCGGCACCAGTGAATGATGAAAATATTTTGCTGTAAAAATGTGTTGGTGGGAGTCTACCTGTAATGAATACATGGAAATCAAGTAAATAAGAAGGAGTATATGTTCCAACCTACCGCAGTATTAACGCAATCCGCTAATGGATCACAGATAGTATTGCCTATTGCACACTCGTCCAGGTCACTACACTCCTGAGTAGAAAAAAATAATTTAACAAATCATGATAATATCTAGAATATTTACTGGCCTGCCAAATTTAACAGACAGGCTTCCTAGAGGGCTTAGTCTTGAGCCAAAATATCAGACATCTTATGGTTGCTACAAACACTAGCTGACTGCTATCAGCAACATATCTGATAGGCGAGTCAAGTGGTCGAGCGGTAAGGCAGGGGTGCCGCCAGCTACAGCCTTAACATCGGCACTGGTTCCAGCCGCTCCTCGCCCATGGTTCGGTTGGTAGAACCAAGTCTTCTCGGATAAGGACTTATAATGGAGGTCCAGTGTATACATCTGGCTCGTGTGCACTTTAAAGAACCCATTGCATCTTTCGGAAGAGTAGGGGGTTACCCCAATGTTATGGTTCTTTTCAGCCCCTGTCGTTGTGGAATGATGTGAACATGTATCTACCAAGAAGCGCCTCTTTACGGCTGCTAGGTAGTCACGGACCACGCCCATACGCAATTCAGCACAATGGCGCTGCAAGTTATGGGTTATTCTCCTACCTTTACCTTTACATATCTGAGAAAAATAAATTATTGATAGAAAATGATGAGTTATAATATTTTACCTGCTTGTTATTCAATGCATCGTCAAGGCCTATGCCATGGGGTGTCTCACCAGAATAACCAGGAGGACAACCCCCACACTCGTAACCTGGATCTAAATCAACACATGTGGATGAATCCCAACAAGGTGTGGCTAGTGTACACTAGAAAATCAAGGAGAGTAAATCTATTCAATGATGAGTCAGTAATTTAATTCCATATTTTTAAATGAGATATGTTGAGTGAAAAATTCAAATAGACTACAAAATGACATAAGGAAAAATGAAGACTATATGAGTTTGAACATTTAAAAAATGCTATTTCTTAATTATTTTTCTTTTCACAATATCTATTGAATTTTGAATTCAACAGAGAGAATGTGTCAAACTCCATGCATTGCAAATGGTACATGTCATCCTACCTCATCAATATTTGTGCAGACTTCTCCATCTCCTTCATAGCCTGCAGGACAGTCCCTGCATCCATAGTATGGTGGGGAGTCTGTATTAAAACACACTGCTCCTGGGAAGCATGGACTAACTTCAGCCATACACGGGCCTAGGAATCAAACAGAAGGTAAATTTAGACTGATCACATCGTCGCTCGCATCACAAACTAACACAATCAAAATAGATTGTGTTAGTTCGTGAAATCACTGTAGCTGTAGTCAAAACGAGCGCATATTGGTTGTCAAGCAATTTTGTATTCTTTACCACACAAAAAGTCCTTAACAACAGCGCGTATTTTGACGCACTTTCTTGATTTCACGAACTAACACAATCTACTTCGATTGTGTTAGTTCGTGATGTGAGCAACGACATATTGGAAAAATAAATTAAATTATTATTATTTATTATTATTAATATTAATAAAATTATCTGATCAATTTAATTTTGCTTATGTAGGCCAACTAGGAAGCATAAATGTAAAATTGCAATACAACAGGATTAGGCTTAAGAACTTAAATTTTGATTCACAACAAGCCTACTTGGTAAGGGATTAAATATGAAAATGCATACCACAGATTATACTAATTATTTTTCATTATCAAATTTATGATACCTGACTGTATTAAGAAATGTCAAACTGTTCTTTGCCTCTCAGCTATTACCTGGTAAATTACTTTAATTTGATAAATTGGAAATACTGTATATAGCTATCGATAGATTTCCATTGATTTGTAATCAGTAGTAAGGGAAATCTACCGATAGAAATATATGCAGATGTCAATCATTCGAAAGCAGTGCTACTCACACAGAGAAACACTTGGACAAGTCTTGCAGGTGCCACAATCTCCAGCTGACCATTCAAAGGAGCTGCATGGCTCGCATTCCCATTTGCCCTCTGTGCTGGAATAACCTTGAGGACAACATTCGCAGGATCCTTGTCTGGTTAGGTTCTGATATGAACCTGGAGCACATGGCTTACAGAACTCTGTTAAAACATCAACATTTTGTAATGGTAAAGCTAGATTGTTGTTATGAATTATACTCCATAATAATCAACGTAAAGCCTCATTTAGCTGCTGCAGTTTAAATAATAATAATAATAATAATAATAATAATAATAATATGCACTAAGTCGGACTTAAGGGGAATATCTTGTGTTTTTTCCCCTTAACGTCATGTTATTTTCCCCTTAACATCATTTTTTAAATTTCTCCATTGTCTAGTCCCTTAAGGTAGGTTTTAGTAACATAATAATAATATTAATAATAATAATAATAATAATAATAATAATAATAATAATAATAATAATAATAATTCTGGAGACTTCTATAGTGCCATTAAGTGCTTATGGCCCTTTTTACCCCAGGCCTTGAAAATACACAGAGAAAAAGTAACAGAAAACCAGGTTTGAAACTTGAGTAGGCGGAGTCATCAAGCCCGAATTCAGTCAATAATAATAATGTGTACTGGTAGTGACCAAGAATTATATATTGCAAGTTATCTTTTGTAGCATGTGATGCTATGAGTGGATATATAATTTTTTAAAATCCTCATATCCTCACTCCCCATATTGTATGTTAATGATTTCCTTTAATAAAGATTACTTGTTGTCATCCTCATAATAATAGAAGCAGTCATCCATACCAGTATCATATCCTTTTGAGTAAGTGCCACGATCACACTCTGTTTGCTTGCCATCAAAACATGCTGTACCAACTTCACAGAGAGTACATGATTCTGGACAATGCTAAAGGTTAAAGGTAAAACATAATAATAAATGTAATCATAAACCTAGAATTACATAAGGCAAAAGTCCCTGTTAGCAGAAATGGTCCACAGTGAGCTGTCTGATAGTTGAGAGTGAGCTGTCAAATTGTCCAGAGGGAGCCGTTAGCAGCTACATAAACTTAACTTTCATTGGTTTTAACAATGACCATTGGGAGTTAACAAGAGAGTCCTGGCCAGCAACATATCCATTGGAATGTAAACAAGAAACCCATTACAATCACTCACTTTATCTCATGGGCTACAGTGGCAATAAATAATTTAAGAACCCATCGCTATTCAACAAACCAGCAGGATTTATAACTCGGGTTTTTTCCCAAAGCCGGGTGCCATGGACCAGTTATGTTAACGGCCAAAAATGCAGCATGAAAATAATTTGTGCCATGATTGTGATGAATATATCAGGGAGAAAAAGAGAGTTTGAAAGAAAGAGAGCAAAATAGCAAAAAAAACCCCAAAAAACTTGTAGTACTGCTGTTCAGGAATCTGTCCACACAATTAATGTTTCTGTGAAATGCATTAGATGTGTACATGCATGGGTGTGGTATGACATAAGTTTGCCCATATATAGAAAATCTAGATACTTGTCACAAAAATCTTGTTAGTGTGGGCAAACTTTAGGGATTTGAAAGGCAGGTGCAAATGTGAGAAAAGGATAAATCACAAATATATACCGTGGTATTACATCGTCCGTGATGGTACGTAGGACAAGGCGTGGCATATCCATCCTCACAAAGCTGAAATAAATAAAAACCTAATGAATTATAATATAATTAAATACATATGCATTAGAAGACATATAATACAATCCTAGTGACAAAGGTAAAAAAAGTAAACTGTTGAATAGGGAATGACTATATATAATTGTATATTATTATATAATATTGTTAGAGAGAGAGAGTTCAAACGTGGTGCTATGAATTGGACTGTTCTATTTTATTCGAAGGGGTATTCTGTTTCTGGAACAAATGCAATTAGTTGGTTTATCCAGGTAAGTATTCACGAAATAGACAATATACAGTACTAGCTATAGGCAATCCTAGCCTCATTTATATTAAATCTAAAATACAGTCTACTCTGAATAGCCAACAGACAAACATGTTTGTTGCTGGACTTACCCAGCCATCTGGACATTCTGAGCACTTTGATGCATGGCCAAATGAGTGCTCTGTCGGGCTGCGATCACATGTTGACTCATCATCACATCTTCCACACATCCTCTGGATTCCATCACCAATACAGTAGTAGGTTGCCTCGCAACGCTGACATTGAGACAAATCTGTAATCAATGTTATTTATTGTAAGTTCATCAAATTGAATGTCTTGCAACATTAATACATATTGATTTAAGTGAAAAAGATAGATAGTTCATGGCAGGCATGGTACTTCAAATTGAAGGCTCGTGAATATGATAATGGACCAATTGCTTACTTCATTAATTTCTGCTTAGCCCAATGTTTTAATAGGTAAACTAGTAATTAAAACTTACCCATTAAACAAGGAATATGCAAATTGATTTCTGTTACAGGGATAAAAAATTTAAGGACTTGGTACAAATCAAAAATATGCTATAAAAAAAACTCAGGAGTGATTTTGTTATACAACTTAACTGGATAAACTGATCAAAAAAAGGTCAAAGACCGTCCCTACCCAAAACTTACCTAATAATTAAATTAGAATCTCTTCTCTTGTGATACTGTAAATGAGAGTGCCAAGCCAGAAAATAGACAAATATACTTACAACGGAATCTTTGTTCAGTTGTACATCCCCTGATCTCGAGTCGCATAGCAGCAGATCCTTCCCATGATGTAGGCTTAATCCGTATATACTGAGCATAGTAGTCTTCTCCGAAGAAGTTTGCCTTTAATGAGTGCTGATTACTATTGCCTGTGAACACCTGTAATCATCAATAAATATATTCATAATTTAATCATTAATTTACATAATTATGAATATATTGATCAATCAATATATTCATAATGTAATCATTGCTTTTACATTAGTATGAATATACTGAATGATGGTTACAGGTGTTAGTATGATTTAATATATCATACTTTAATCATTGCTTTACATAAATTAGAGTAGATAAACTAGAGCAAGAGTAGATGAACTAGGACTTGTAACTTGAGGGCAGGCTGCTATTGTTGTTATACACCATATTATAATGGAAAAACCAGAACTTAGACTCAGAAAGAAAATAAGAAGGTAATAGGGGTCAGGGAAAAGAACAATTAGAGAAGAAAAAGAAAAAATTAAAGAATAAAAAGTAAAAATAAAAAAGTAGAAATAAAAGTAAAGAAGTAATTAAACAAGATGAAGGAGGAGGATAATTATATCTGGGAACTGAGATAATTCCTAATGATTCAAGTTCATTGTTTTTATTGAGAAAAATCTGGGATTTTGAAACACGATTTTGGGAACATGATTCACATAACATTTTCATAGTATTTACAGTAATTTCTCCTCTTTAAGAGGAGAAATTACTGTAAATATTACGAAAATACCTCTCCAATTGTTATCCATGTGATGGTGTCATTTGAAAATTCCACTTGATAAGCTTTGACCCAGGCCTCGACATCTGCTGTTCCTTGCGATACAACTCCAGTAAAAATGTATGTGGTCAACATATCCACTTGAAACCAAGGTACAGAATCTGTCTTATCAGCTATCCAACCTACAAAAAAACATAATACAGTAATAAGATACAGTTGAATCTATGATTGAATGGTACTAAGCGCACAGAGACCATGTAGTATGCGCTTTAGTCCCAAACCATTACCATTACCATTAGCCTATGTCCCACATTTATTCACTAAAATTTTCTCTTTTGTGTCAAACACATGAGACAAATTTTATAGTTTAAGATTCAAATTAGGTTACTCAAGACTTTGGTCAATAAAGGCAAATACTTTAACAACATCAGCCTATGCTTACCAGATCCAGCTGGAATATCCTCATCTGCTTTAATGAAAAGACGCCCTCGCTCAGGTCCATACAGATGTGTGCTGCTTGATGCTGATAACTGGGAATCTTGAATAGACCCAGAATGCATTCCCAGATCTTTCCTACACGCTGTGAATAGTTAATACAGTATAAAATAAATATAATTTTTCTAATATTAACATGAATGCTAATTAGTATGATACATCAATAACTATTTTTATTAATTAAATCTTGTTCTCATTATTTTTAGAGAAATCCTCGAATGAAATCACAAAATTAAAAGTAACCTAGATGATTGTAATGGAGGATGATGAAAAAGATGATGAAAATGATGATGAAGATGACAATATGATATAGATAATGATAATGATGATAGGAGTGATGTTTTGCTCTACCTAAAGTATTATCGTACTGAATACTCAGTACAAATACTTGTGAAAAGTGATGATGATGAAGATAAAAATGATGATAGTGATAGAGAAATGATGATTGTATAAATTAATTTCTTTTAAAAATAATAATATTAAAAAGAAAAAAACTGTAGACTAATATTAAAATATTCATTAATAAAAAAAATTTAGCTTTTCACAAAATTGTGAAATAAATTAAATAATTCATATCAGAAAAACAATAATGAATTATATCACACAGTACAAACACTGTCTCTTATACACATCTCGATGTGTATAAGAGACAGGTAGTGAGATGTGCAAAGCCATTGTATCATCTTCTGGTCTTTGTTAAGTCATCCAACAGGAAACAAGTCATAACTGTTGTTGTTAAATGCCACAAAATGGCTAACTACCGTACAGTATCGGCTCAACGGATCCAGCTCTCCTGTTTACTTTCAACTTGTATATTAGAAATCTAAATAATGTTAGTAAAACCATAGGTCATTTCTTAGAGGCAGAACGCGTAGCACACTATCATAAGGAAGTCACTGACTTAACATTTTTATCATGGACATTTAATTTACTGTAATTTATAGTTATTAGGAATGTGGTTTATCTGTGTGTATTGAACATTAATCATGTTGAAGATGAAAAGAATACAAAGTACAAAACATAATATGTGTAGTATTATACCTGTCTCTTATACACATCTAGATGTGTATAAGAGACAGCATAATAGCTTGGACAGGGCTTTAGGCAATAATAGAGAATTAATTTACCTTGACTGTTATAGATCCAACTGTAGGTGGTGATGCATTTATATCGGTAACCTCAATAATGAGCAGGTACTCAGTGACTTGCTCATAATCAAGTGATGTAGCTATAGTAACTAAAGCCTTGTCTGTCCCAATATCAAATTCTTCAGATCCCCCAATATTTGGCTCTGGGTCTGAAGTTTAGAAAAATAAAAACACCATTATAAGTAATAAGAGGTTGGAGATACTGTAGATTTATAATAGATAATAATAGTAATTATTTTATTTTTAATAGAGAAAATTTATCTATCCATCATTACCTCCTACTGTTGATTCTGTACAAATATAAAAAGTGTTGTTTCTAATGGTTTCTGTGGCAGGAGGAGTGATGGTTGTAGGCGCATCACCTGCATTCACATTATCAGTGGTGTACTCCTTAATAGAGAAGTGGCGGCCCTCATTACCTTGAAACAAAGGTATAAAAATGTAATATTAATTTGGAAAATTAAGTATAAGACCTTTTTTTTTACACTCAATAGGATATAAAATAATTATACTGTATAATTTAAATAAATAGGAAATCTACCTGACACAATTGTGACGTTATAGTCTGGTCCAGTTGAGAATGCGTCTGCAACCCAAATTGTCTCAACAATTCCATCAACATAGAGATCTTCACTGATGGTCACGGCGTAATCAGCTGGAGGAACATCTACCTCAAGGTCAAGAAATGACACACCCTGAACTTCAAAGTAGAATTTTGAAATGCACGGCTCTCGTTCAGTAAGAAATAAATCAAAACGATAGCTTCCTCCAACCTCAAGTGAAAATAAGGTTAAAAAGTAGTTGGTTATGTAAGGCCATACCAAAACATTATAAAGAAAAATGCTGTCTCTTATACACATCTAGATGTGTATAAGAGACAGGTTATATAGAACAGTGAGAAAAAGGTTAACATCCAGGAGTGCTGGAGCTGTAATAGATGATGTCGTAGAACATCATAAAAAGAAAATACAACTACAAACAGTTGGACTTGTTTTTCAGCTACAATATATTCAGAGATATATTGACACACAACAACAAAATTAACTATTACTTTATGGTTTTCATGTTTTGAAATCAATATACTTTGAAGGGTAGATCCACTACTACCACTACTTTTATCATATTAAAAAAAAACTTGTTTATTGTATGTACATACATCTCTATAACAGCTGCACTTGTATGATATGTAATAACTCCATTGTCACCGCCGTCAGCATCCGTTGCCGTCAGATTTCCTAGCGGATCCATCTGCATCGGAGGAAGTGGAAAGAAACTATAGCTGGCATTGGAAAAAATTGGGCAGTTGTCGTTCAAATCAGTGATGTATATCTAAAAAAAAACAAAAAACAGAAATCTTTTATGTGCAGAATGAGACTATAGACTGGTAAGGTGCTTTGCAAGGCTCCCCACCCCAAGGGACACACTGTTCAGGAGCTGCACGAGTCTCCATGGTGTTGATAAAGATGAATAATGCACTTGCAAGGTAGTATCAGATATAATCTAATCTTAAAGCTCCATCAATATCTTCTGCTTAAGAATAATGGTGTTGTCGATATGATGGATGACAGCTTTTCTAACATACGCTCAATTGTTGGGTGCCTTTTCCAGAAGATATTGAGGGCAGATCTGAGCATATAGCAAGTCGAATGGCGAAGTGGTTAAGTCAGGGGCGCCACAACCTACAGCCATAATATCAGCGCTGGTTCAAACGGCGTGCCCACCTATGGTTCAGGAGGTGGAACAAGTCTTCTTGGATAAGGATTATAAACCGTGTACAGCAATCTTTTGAGATTAGTAAGGGGGTTACCCCGGTGTACTGTTCCATACAGCCCCTGTTTTGGACAGATGAGTGTTCCTGGTACACGAAGAGACCCTTAGGGGCGAAAAAAGTTACTGAAAGAGCTACTGTAGTCCATGCTATGAGCGCTCTGATCTTCATGAAATAGCCCTATATGAATGATGTCATGTATTTACAGGTATATGCAGATGTAAGTGCCATAATACTTTAGTTCAAGACCTTTGTAATTGGCATGTTGCTGTTGAATGCTCCACAAAACTATATATCTTTACTAATGTTGTGGAGAAGGAGGCTGGCACCACTGAAAGGCGGAAGCCTACAGTACCTGGGGGCTGACGAAAGAAATAAATTAGTCTTGTTGAGCAAGTTTACCTAGGCAATAATAGAGAATTAATTTACCTTGACTGTTATAGATCCAACTGTAGGTGGTGATGCATTTATATCGGTAACCTCAATAATGAGCAGGTACTCAGTGACTTGCTCATAATCAAGTGATGTAGCTATAGTAACTAAAGCCTTGTCTGTCCCAATATCAAATTCTTCAGATCCCCCAATATTTGGCTCTGGGTCTGAAGTTTAGAAAAATAAAAACACCATTATAAGTAATAAGAGGTTGGAGATACTGTAGATTTATAATAGATAATAATAGTAATTATTTTATTTTTAATAGAGAAAATTTATCTATCCATCATTACCTCCTACTGTTGATTCTGTACAAATATAAAAAGTGTTGTTTCTAATGGTTTCTGTGGCAGGAGGAGTGATGGTTGTAGGCGCATCACCTGCATTCACATTATCAGTGGTGTACTCCTTAATAGAGAAGTGGCGGCCCTCATTACCTTGAAACAAAGGTATAAAAATGTAATATTAATTTGGAAAATTAAGTATAAGACCTTTTTTTTTACACTCAATAGGATATAAAATAATTATACTGTATAATTTAAATAAATAGGAAATCTACCTGACACAATTGTGACGTTATAGTCTGGTCCAGTTGAGAATGCGTCTGCAACCCAAATTGTCTCAACAATTCCATTAACATAGAGATCTTCACTGATGGTCACGGCGTAATCAGCTGGAGGAACATCTACCTCAAGGTCAAGAAATGACACACCCTGAACTTCAAAGTAGAATTTTGAAATGCACGGCTCTCGTTCAGTAAGAAATAAATCAAAACGATAGCTTCCTCCAACCTCAAGTGAAAATAAGGTTAAAAAGTAGTTGGTTATGTAAGGCCATACCAAAACATTATAAAGAAAAATGCAATGCCTGGGGTACTTTATTCAAGGGGGTGGTTATTCCAAATGATGTTTTGGAATTGAAATGGACTTGTATAGCACCTTACACAATTAAAATCGTCTCAAAGTGCTTAAAGAATGTGAAAAAGAGAAGATAAAACTAACCCATAAACTATTAATTAAATAAAGGAGTTTCGTTTCATTTCTTTAGGCATGAGCACCAAGGATATGCCAATAAATGAACTTAATCACTGTCCTACGTGGCATATCCATTTAACAGCAGGGAACTTAATGGACCAGTACACCGGGGTAACCCCTACTCTTCTCGAAGGATGTACTGTACTGGGTTCTTTAAAGTGCACACAAGCCAAATGCGTACACTGGGCCAACGGTTTAAAGTCTTTATCCGAGAAGACTTGTTCCACTACCGGAACCATTGGCAAGCGAGCCGTTTGAAAGAATTAAAGCTGAAGGTTACAGTGCCCCTGACTTAACCGCTCTGCCAATCAACTCGCCAAAAAAGTAAAGCATTTTCAAATAAATATTGTACTTTCTTTATTCTCTCTTCCCTTAGATATCCGCAATGCTTCTACTTACTCCTCCTTTAAATCGTCCCTCAAAAGTTACCTCCTTCTTTCTCTCCTGTAATTCTGTTTCTTTGGCCTTTTGCACTGAGAATTCATTTTTTGGTTTCTACCTTATTATTCATTTTGTTTTATTTATTAATTTAAATTGATTTTATTTCTTTAAATTAAGAGTGATTTGAATTATAGTTCTCATATACATTGGCCTATTATCTATTTTTAATTTATTTTATTATTTTATTTAGGCTACTTTATTCCCTTTGTTGTTTTAATGTCCCTTTGCCTATTGTTTTTTAATATTGCTCTTTCATTTACATCTTTAATTGTAATTTTATTTTAATTTTTATATTAAGTTTTTTATTTAATTTGAATTAATTCTTTATGTAAATTTTGTATTGAGAGGTTGTTATTTATTTTACTGTAATTTAATTAGTTTAATACGCTCTTTTGTTTTGTCTTACTATGTGTATTGAGGGTCCCTAATGATCAGCTTCGGCTGGATGGACTACCCTCATTAAAGATTGTTGAAATAAATAAAATTCATTTTATTGCATCTCATCAAAAACACCATAAAACAGAAAAATCAAACACTAGAAAAACAAATGCAAAAAAAAAAGAACAAGATCCAGACTCAAGATCCAAACCAAGGAAAATGTCTGGATGAAAAATATCAAAATACATCAAAAATACACATTAACTCTTCATATAAACAGTACTAAATTTTTTAAAATTCTTGACATAATAATTTAGAAAAATGTATACTATTATTACTATTAATAAATGTCAACAAACTTACTGTCAAGTCTAGGTAAACTCTTTCTGAATTAACATAGCCAGTTGTGACACAAACACCATTCACTATAGTGCCCCCTTGCGGTACAACATATCCACCACCTGCCAGTATAAAATTATGAATTAAATTGTCATATAAATACACAATGCATTTTAAATTGCAATAGTAGTAAAACATAGCACTTAATGGTGGTTGAAATACACATTTTTTTTTCCATACAGCAATTAGCAAAACTAACTCATGGTTAATATTTATAAAAGTCAATGCTGATGAATAAATGACAATTTGGTTCATTTTTATACAGAGTTGGTATGGTCAATACTACCATTATCGAGAGGTGTATTGATTAGAGAACCTTCGGTATTTGCCTTTGTATTTAAGCTAAGAACTCAGTTGAAACCGATACTGTAAATGCTTGAATAAGTGCCGCTCTCAAATAACCGCCGCTCTTGAATAATTGCCGCACCAAACCTGATTTCTTTGCTAAGTGCCGCTCTCAAAAAAGCACCGAGCATCAAGAATATATTATTGCCTTTGAGAAACAGGGTTTTAAATACAAGGTATACAGTGTTAAAATGAATAAATAACACTATTAAGATACAAGCATTTCTTTATAAAGGTTTACAGTATGATTGGCCTACTGAACTACGGGAGTACGTTGAGATTGATGACATGGGAACGCTGGCATGGAAAGCACAACGCCAATATTGCCAATATTTTTTTTATAAGTGCCACTCTCGAATAAGTAATTGTGGGATATTTACCATCTGCTCCAGAAAGCTCCACCTTCTTGCAGTAGTCAGGATCTGTAGCGCCCCCAACCAGCACTTGAACAACCAGTTCTTTATTGATATATAACCACAGCTCATCTCCTCCCCCAACTGTGATGCTCTCTGTTCCTTGGAATAATATTCCGGTTCGCAAGACGCTTGTAAAACTGGGATTAACACATAATATGAGAGCATGACTACAGGTTCACACTGCATTTATATATCTTTAAATTATTTCAGATATAAATAAATATAAGATACAAGATAAATTACACAAATCAATCGTGATGTTGGTAGTCTATGAGTGAGATACTTACCTGGATAACCGAGAGACGGTTCACACGTGGCGCCTTGGGTCGGACTGTTCCATTTTTTTTCGAAGGGGTGTTCCGTTTTGGGAACAATGGCAATTAGTCGGTTATCCAGGTAAGTATTCACGAAATAGACAAGGTAATATGCAATTTAAAATTTAAAAGAAAGACATGGAAATACAACAAACTACCATACTATACAAAATTTAAAGTTAAAAAAAAGTAACAATACAATATAATCAAATAATGAACTACAAAAAAAAGGAGATTGTGAATATCGAATGTACTAACCCAAAATTATGAAGAACAAAGTCACAGTCTCTCTGACCTTCTGAGGTGTAACCTAATCCATCAACGGGAAAATACTCATCTGTAAAGTACCTAATGCGTTCATAAAAAGAATGAAAGTTGGATCTAATTTATGGATATATTTATAATGAATGTCTATTGCCATGCATCACAAAAATCATTAATTTAATAATTACCACCACCATCAATATCATCACTTCTATTGTCACTTCTCACCATGATTAGTATCTTCACCATCACTGTCAACATCATCATTGTTTGTTTATTTAAACTATTATCAAACAGCGGCAGGGGGCTTAAGTCTCCCCACTGGACAGGTAAAGCCACCCCACCAGACAGAGCTTGTCGAGCAGTCAGACCATAAAACATATAAAAATAGGCCCACACCAAGCCAACGCATGTCTGTCACAGTCTGAGAGTGCCATTTCCGGCCATCCAGAGGTTGCTATTCTTAAAAAAAATCTCATTTGGGAGGGGGACCCTCTCTCAACCCCTTATCCCAGCTTGGGCCTACGAGCTCAAGCCCCCCTGTCGGACAACTTAACCCCCAGAAAATATATCCTAGAGCCGCCATTGCTATCAAATTACCATCAACATCATCGTCTTAATCATAACACCATCATTGTCATCAATGTATTACATTATTTTTATTCATCATAATATTTACCACACTTGTCCAGATGCTGGACAGATGATGATGAGTACCAGCATAGAATCAAATACCTTCAACATCTTTATCAGCATCATAATCACCATCATCACCATTAACCATTACTATCATTGTTATTATCACTCTTATCATCAATATTTACAGTTGTTAAAAATCACCATTATCATTTTCATAACAACACAATTTTTGTCATCATATTTATCATCGTCTTCAACACCTGCATCACCATTTTCATCGCCATCATCATTACCACCCCTATCATCATCATCACCCCCATCACAGCTGCACTATAACAACCTGTCCTATATGTTGATTCAACATAATAATAATAATAATAATAATAATAATTATATTTATTTGGCATTCAAGATATATCATTGCCAGGAAATAGAATAGGCAATTAATTAGCCTGTACAAACAATTATGTACTCTCTCCTCTTATCTTAAGCTACACAAACAAATACAAAATTTAAACATACAATAAATTACTACTACAAATTGATAAACATAATCAAAATGTAAAGGTCATAAATAAGCAATCATATTTAAAAAAATTAAGCAAACATAATAATAATAGTCAATACACAGATATAGTGCTTGTGAGAGCAGACTTAAAACTCGAAAATGATAAGGATGGTTGAATAGGTATCTGTTTACAGAGTCTTGGAAATGAAACATATGCCGAATTTCTAAAAATATTGCCTTTTACATTCCAATGTATTAATCTGCCCTCACACTGTTCACTAAATCCAACATTCTGCACTTGCTGCCTTGTGATTGGCAACAATACAAAGTATTTAAATTGTAAATCAGTGTTTACTAACAGCCATCTTACCTGTTAATTGGATTATCAAGTGAAGATGTATTAAGCCAAGGAATTGTCAGTGTTCTCTCAATGGCAAAATTGTCAGCATTTTTCCGGAACCACCCGGAAAATGAATCAGAAGATGGATTATCAGAAATTGCCAACCAGCTTCCATAAGGACTTGGTATGTACTCCGGATCCGTGACCCTGCTCTTCTGGGTTGCAGTGAAATCAGGATTGCTTACACTGTGTACAAAAGTGTTGCTAATTATTTGTTATATAATATTATTATTTTTATCAATATACACAAGACACAAGATATATTTTATTGTCTTTCAAGAGAAGGAACTTGTAATTTGGCAAAAAATAATTACTAATCAAAACACTCATATGTTTATAGCCAGGCAGCATCTTGAGACTATGAGGTAAGTCATCCTCATTTTGATAATTCAGATTACATGTACAGGCTTCTATATATAATTTAGTCTTAAAATTTTAAGATAAAATGTAATATTTTTGAGATCTTTCTTTTGTGTAAAGATGGGCAGTGCAATGCATGCTTTATTTATATGTTATCAGGCTGGTAGTCAAACTGAACTGAAATTAATAAGATTGTCACATGTTTATGTGGAATTGTAATTAATAATTATTACCTGAAATCATAATAAGTAAATGATAACAAAATATTAGTTCCATTTATCTCAGTCTGGTTGTTAGAAATTGCAATATTCTCCACCGTTGTTATATCGTATGGTTCGCTGGCAGCACTCGTGTACCCATTGGCTTTCAGTTTAATAGTGCATGTGTAGTCTGTACCGTACTGAGTACCGTATGACTCGTCCAGGAGTAGGTATGTTTTGTTGGTTTGACTACCTTCTAGTGTGCTGGCAGTATTGCTTGTACAAGTAACAATGTATTCCCTGTTGGAAAATAAATCCTGTTGATTAAGTCAACAAATGAAGAAATTACTGTCAAGCTCTGTATGTCCACCTATCAAAAACTGTTGTATGTCAAAGATCTTATAAATACAAGATAGCGTTCTCCGCAATTTACGCGCAACAAAATAGAAGCATTGATTTGGCAGAAAAGTAATCAGTTTTGGGAGAGGGCCCCCTAGTTGCTGCCATGGAAGGTGTTGCGTCACATCAAAGTTCTTTACCAAGTACGATTTTGTTCCTTATTGTTTTTAAGAGCGAAGCGCATTGTAAATCAACACTTTTAATTGTTACACGTAAAGGTAAAGTCGTGCGGTGTATGCTTTTGTTAAAGCGGTTAAAGTTGAAAAGTATTCACTTTTGCAAAAAGGCACCATACACTGCGTTATTACAGAATTTGCATGCAGAAATTGTGGAGAACGCTAACTTGTGTTTATAAGATATTTGTTGTATGCCCATATATAGTCATGATGTTCCTATATATGGCCATTTCATTATGACATGTCAAATAAAATTTTATTATATGGACAGGGCTTAAAATAGATGAAGTATTATTATTAATGCACTATTGCCCTAGTATGCTTTATTAATGTACTACTGCCCTAGTATGCTTTATTAATGCACTAACAGCTGTATGTTTAAACTCCTGTAACTTCATAACGAAATGTCAGATTTAAATGATTCTTTTACCATTTTGTAGCTCTTATTTTATTTCAATCATGTATTAATAACTAAAACTTTATTTTTGCAACAAGTGACTGATTTTGCCTGTCTTGCCATATATAATGAATATAAATATTGAGTAAATGAACTCACTTAATTGCCTAATGTACTATGAGACAATAACGCTATATATAGTGTCCACTAATAGGAAGACAAACATTTCCAAAGAATATGATGCAAACATCAGACTTTAAATAATAGCTTGGATCTGTTTTTTCAGAGTTTGTTTCACCAAATTTACTAAACCACTAACCTATTTAGTGAACTGCAAAGAGAAATCATGAAATGGCCATTAAATACAAGTGTACTAAATTAAAACATACCATGGACTTGGGTCCGTGGTGTTAGGATTCTTTCCTGGGTAAAGAATGTTTGGGTGTGACCAGGTCGCCAAGAGTTCCTTTGGCTTTGGTGAGGTAAGGTTCAATGAAACTGCAGCTGTATTGTGGATTTAAAGATAAAAAATAGTTAATATGAGAATTTAGCAGTGCAATCTGTAGAACAGGCAGCAGTTTAAACTGGAATTTAGGCGCAGTTCTAATAGTCTTGATATTTTCTATCAGGTATACTATCATATGCATTCACATTGAATTATATCTACGGTAGGTAATCTAGATTAAGATTAGTGGTGAGTCATGTGACTACAACATAAAGTAGAATGGAACATGATTGGTTTGTTTTATGACCTTCAATTCAATTTAGCCTCATTTAGATTGTTATAAGTTGGGACCCCAATGGAAACCAATCCTTTTTTTAGGTTTAACTTTAGGTTTATGGATCAATAATATCCTCTTTTTTGTTGCTTTTTGTTTTTCCCTCCCTCCTTTACATTTTCTTTGTTTATTTCTGTTGTTTGTTACTGTTTTTGCATTTGATTGGTTGAAGGTAATTTTTTTTTTTTTTTTTTTTTTTTTTTTTTGTTAATTTGATATTTGATGTTTTTAATTTGAGCTGTTTATTTGTAGTTAATATGTTGGATAAGAGTGCAAGTTTTTCTTGTTCGGGTTTATGCCCATTCTCTTTCCTGGCAATACTGTAACATGTCTTTTTGATGCCAAATAAATATTATTATTATTATTATTATTATAACTGGGTCATCCCAAATCTATCCATTTTTTCTTTCTCTACTTTTGGATGCCTTTCGGTCTTTGTTTGATAAATCCTAAACTAAAACAAAAAAACTAAAAAGTATAGTTAATCATAAGTCCAGTAACACCTTGATCTGATATAAATTTAGTCCACTTAACTGGTGTGGGTCCATACTAATAGTTAACTAAATTTAAGTTTATGTGAACCAGGTTATATGTAAATATATATGGGACATATTTTTGACTCTGCGAACTAAAAAATGTTGTGTTTAATAAATGTACACATAGTGTATAATCTGATGACCATCTTTAAATATTAAGAAATAATCTGAATATTCATATACTTTAGAAATTGTTCTTAGCAGGTAAAACTTTATTACTTATTGAGTATTGTGAATTGTTATATGCATTTTGTTGATGGTTTTAACTTCAAATGTGTTCTGATATCTTTATATTTGTATATGTTTTTTTTTCTGACGTTTTTGTACAATTGTTTCAATTCAGGCTTTGGTGCCATGTACAATTTTGGATATTTTTGAATAAATACACCTTGAATAAGAAACATATGTATTGGCCTGCCATACTATTTTAAAAGCAATGTTACCATCACCGCGACTGGCAAATGCATTTCTTTTTTAAAAAATTTATATACAGCATTCAAGTGTTGTTTTTCTTTTACAATCTTTGTTATCGACCTCATAAAAGCATTTAGTGCACAGTTGTGGCTGGGATTCTGAAGTCAGGGTTCATAACCTCACAGTACAGGTCAACTGTGTTCTCGAGGAAGACACTTCTACAGTACATCTGTCTCTGTTCCAGAGTATAAATGGGTACTGGCATATGTTGGGAAAGGTAAAAGCAAACTTGTTGAATAGGAGGAGTGGCAAACTCACAATAAGCAAATGCAGTCTCTAAATGCCAAAAGTTTTTCATTATATCAACATTCCAAAATGCAAATTTAAATTAGAACAAAATTTCTTACTACATTGAAAGAAGCTTGCATTCACATTTGTGAAGTAAGTACTGGTAGATGAAGAAGCATAAGCAAAAGTGGTGCCAGCAAGGGATGATGGTTCTGTACACTGCCCTCCGTTGACAGACGTATTGACAGCATAAAATGAGTAGTACATTTCACATGTACATCCAAGTTGATTATTGCTTAGATCACTATTATGAAAGTAGGCAATATTTTTCAAGTAAATCTTTAAAAATATATATACAAATACAATTTTTTAAATCAAATTAATATTTTTCATTACATTTTCTTGTTTACGATGCACGGGATGCACAAAATTTTGTGTTTTTTCTTTTATAATGTTCCTGTCTTTAATTTTGGAAAGCTGTACACCCAAAATGTGTTCAGGAGTATCACTATAATTAACACCAAGAAGATTTCAATCATAACTCTAGTATTACTAAAATTAACACAAAGAAAAAGATTTCAATCTTAACTCCAATATTACTAAAATTGAAAAAAAAAAGGAACTGAAAAAAAAACGTCAATCTTACAGGTTGTTCAAATATGTAGTGTCAATGCCAGCAAATGCATTTTTGCCAAGACTTTTGATGCTGTTATCACTCAAATCCCTGAAAAGAAATGAATATATTAATGAAAATTAAATTTAATGCTAATTAATGTGATAATTAATGCATTTAACTAAAGTTTTGTTCACACTTATCAGTTCTTTTAGATGTTTCTCCTTTCAAGCAAACTGTTAATTCTTCAGTATTGTACTATTTCCCTATGTTTCTTACTTTAGGCCTTGAACTTTCTTTTTGTAATTTGTCAGTGTAGTCTTTATTATTATTTCGAAAACAAGCAAAAATACAAAGAGTTATACTGAAATTCTCTTTGTTTTTGTTTTTGACTCATATAATTTTGTGCTTTGTTCACTTGTGAGAATTTTTAAATAAACCAAATCAATAAAAAATATTTACACTTTGTCTGTTTTTCAATCAATAGTTTGATTGCAAGTTGATTTGCATAATTGTAATATAAAGATGTTAGGCCTGTTGACTTTTGTGGTAATAAATGATGAAATCTTAAATAAGAAACTTCATTGAAGATTTGAATCTTAATCTTATTTAAGACTAGGTCAGGACAACAATATTTTAGTTTCTCATAATAAAACTTATTCAAAGGTAATAAAGTGATTTTGTTAGAAGTGGCGGACTTTCAAAAATTATTTTTAAAAAATGGGAGAAAAAAGGGAAAATTTGATTCAAAAAGTCTGAGAGTGCAATTCCGGCCATCTAGACTTGCCTTAATAAAATTTTCTTACCTCAGCCCCAACTATGGTGGGGCTGAGGTAGTTTAGGCCCCATATGGCTCTGTCTATTTTGAATACTGGATCTGCCACTGGTTAGCTATGTTCTGCTAGAGTTTCCTGTGACATACATTTATTTGTTTTGGGGCACTTATACAGCCCATCAGCCATAGTTCTTTGTTTTATGTAAAGAAATGTTATAATATAGATAAGATAAAAAGGACTCCATATCAACAGACAATACATGCGCTATGAGATTCATCATCTAACAACCTTTTCTTACACAAATGCAGATAAATATGTAATAAATTTATTAAGTGCTACTTACAATGTACGAAGCATTGGTAGGTCCACTGTTGTTGGCCAGTGTTGTATTAAGTTGTTACTTAAGTAACTGTAAATAAAAAATGACAGACATGTTCAATATTTATTCAAGGACAGTGAAGTGGATACACAGGATATACTTGTTTGTGTCGAAAAACTATAAACGCTGTTACTTACATATACCGCAAATTGGCCAGGCCCTCAAAGACACCTTCCCCTGCATCAACAATCAAGTTGTGTTCAAGATTTCTGTCCAAAAAAAAACAAAAATATTTTTTGGGGTGATTTAAGATTTTAATACTTAATCATAATCCACACAAAACAATAGTATCATTTTTTTTTTAATTAAGAGTGGAATTTAAAAAAATGATGTCTACATAGGTATCTGCATGGCACCAAAGAATGTAAAGTACCATAATGTATTTGAACTATACTGATTATATTAACTACAGACTCTCTCCAAGAAGGTGACGAGGTATTATCAAATTATGTATGATAGTTATGTTTTAAATAGAGAGATTCGGCAATGTTTGTTTACAGCCAGTCACATGACTTAACTTGGGTATACATGAAAAACAACCACCCACTGTTAAGGTGAGAAATAAATGGCTAGGAAAGGCAATTCGATTGTTCAAAATATTGTTTATTTACTTATCCTAGCCTTCTCCAAGGATTTTATGCTTTGAATTTTAAACTTTAGCTAGCCCTAACATCGCAGCGTAGTTTGAGGGTCGAAGACCCTCATGCATAACTAACCATGCCGTAGATGTGCAGTGGTCTAGGCCTAACATTTGTTGAAAAACCTCAATGTTTGCAGCAGTATTCTTTACAGAATTAGCAAACAATTAAGGTAAAATTCTCAAGTTTATTTTCCAATCAATTTGGTATAGTTTACTAGGAATTATGATAATCTTTACAGCAATAAAAATGGGACGGCTGCGATAGCAATCTCCATGTACACCACCGCTGTGTCAGTGGATTGTTTATATTCAACACCCAAGTTAGGTCATGTGACACCCATTGCCAAATCCCTCTATTGACAGGACAGCCAGAGCTGTGAAATATGCAATACTAAAAATAAGTTTAAACCAAATCACACAAACGATAAGTATCAATCAAAGACATGACCGAGGAATAGAATAGCTTACAATGTTTGTAATGATGCAAGTCCATCAAACGCATCAGAATCTAACTCAATCAGAGCGTTGTTTGATAGATCGCTAATAACAAAAAATATACAAAGATACAAAATGATCATTTTTTCACTGTAAGGCACTCTAGATGCCAACATGTTGTCTAGAAATAATGGCATATCAATCAGTTCTATGTTTCATAACAATTATAAAATAAACTTAATATTACCAGAATTACCAGATTTATTAAAATAAAAAAAATAAAATCTTGCCATTTTAGATTAATTCTCTATTTTATATTTATTGTTTAAAGGTTTGCTTGGTCAAGTAATAATATATTTAATGCTTGGGGTACACCACATAAATAGTTCTAAAAAGACCTGTTATTTGTTGAGAATGTCTTGACGTTTTGATTAAGTTGCTTCAATCGTCTTTAGGATTCTCCTATCCTTGTGGTGTACCGCAAGCATTAAATATATTATTTTTATTTAGTTAGGCACATGGGCAAGGATTGTCAATAGCGAATATATCACTGTCCCACTCAGGTGGCAAAACTTTTCATTAGACAAACAATACACACAAAATGCATAAACTATGCTACATAAACCATACTTAGTGCCATTATGTGACTTAATTTTTGAAGAAAATAGTATCATGTTTAAAATTCAACCCAAGGCCCTGAAATTAAAAAGCAAACACATTTGCCACCAATACCAGTACACATACCACTTTACTTCAGTTTACAAATACATACAAAAAAACCTACAGTTCTTGAAGGGTTGTATGACTGGAAAAGGAACCCTGAGGAATGACAGCAATACGATTCTGAGACAAATCCAAGGTCATTAAAGTCTGTCCATCAAGAGCTGTAGCAGGAAATTCTGTCAAAGCATTGTCAGAGAGAAATCTAAAGGATATAAAAAATAAACATATGTGTATATATAATAATTATATGATAAATATATAGACATAAAAATAAATTACTTTAATAAATTAACTTTAAGATCACAAGTAATAGCAACAAATTGTTAGGTTTTGTCAGTAGAAATTTACATGATCTTCTACCTTATTTTGAAAAAAAAAATCACATTTTAGTTTTAAAATCATGCACACATCTCAAAAACTTTATTTCATAGTTTGCTGGGAGCAAGTCAAGAGAATAAAGGGCTTATGAATATCATGTGGTCTCAACATTTTAGGCCTGTCACCTATTTTACTTTTAATTTTTTTTTCATTTCCTTTAAGACTTCTAATACTTAGGTCAAACAAAAATAAAACCTAGAACCAGATTCTGCAATTACTGACTTTAATGACCATTTATAGTATCTATGAAAGCATCAAGGAACAGCAACACAACACTGTACGTTGGACAAACTTACATTTCATTAGAAGAGACGCCATCAAATGTGTTGCCAGGAATCGAGGTGATCTGGTTATTTTCCATGTGTCTTTAAAGGCAAAATATACAAATTATCTAAGCTTTTTTAAATCTCATTTTAAGGCCACATTGCTTTCCTACGGTTTAATAGTAAATTATTTACTAGTGACCCATAATATTTAAATGAAAAGAATTACAATATTTGTAACAACTGATCACACACATCACAGAACAAATGACATTTTTTGCTTACAGTTCATCAACTGATGATCCACTGGTTCCAAACATGTTACCTTTCAGAGTTGTGATACCATTTAAATCAAGACGCCTACAAATATAAAAAAACAACATAACCAATTATGTTAACGTATATATATTTTTTATTCAACTATAATAACATATCTACCAGCATCAATGTGTAGCTTCAATTAAATCACAGTTTGAAAAAACTTAAAAATCTTCATTATTTATATTAATTAATTCTTCATTATTATATTAATTAAAATTTAGTATGTTTGCAGATGTTGCATACTTACAGGGTATAAAATATATAATCAGATAATCAATAATTATTTGAAAATTATTTTTAATATAGAGAATAAAACCTCTGAGACACTGGTACTTGCAAGCCAATATACATATATCAGATTTAAGTACTGGCAGGAAAGAAACATCATCAACTGGCAAAGCATCTTCTGAAATAGGAGGTTGGTTACATGAGCTCTTAACACATTTAATTCTGCTACCAAACCCATTGCCAGCTGCCTTCCGGGAGAACTGATAATATATTAGAAAAAATACAAATCTTATGAACTTGCAGGAGATGGGATATTTTCCAGGAGGTTTTTGCTTGTTTCCTAATGCCAACAACCCACAGGGGATTTGGGATCCCTGAAAAGTCATGAGACTGGGTCCCAATCAAAATACCATAAATGATCTTGATACTTACAATTCCATACTAACAGTGACAGTGGAAAAAGCTTCTTCCTCGATAGTTGCAATATTATTTGACTGCAAGTAACTGAGGAGGAATACAAAGTTTTTATAATTAACAATAATTATAATAATAGTAGTAATAGCTATTACTATTAGTTATTATCTGTTATTAGTTTTGAATAGCCAAATACTAAGAATAATAACATTAACAATATTTATAATAATATTAATAGTAATAATAATGATAGTTGCGATACTATTTGACTGCAAGTAACTGAGGAGGAATACACATTTTTTATAATTAACAATAATTATAATAATAGTAGTAATAACTATTATTATTAGTTATTATCTGTTATTAGTTTTGAATAGCCAAATAATAAGAATAACAATATTTATAATAATATTAATAGTAATAATAATGATAATGTGCAAAAACTGTTTTTTTGTAAAAAATGTCCTGCTGTGTGAAAAAAAAGGAAAACATTATTAATTATAATAATAATAATAATAATAATAATAATAATAATAATAATAAGCTTTATTTAAAACACGGAAACTTAGCTCAATTAACAGTTGATATTTTGGAAGGCCGTGTTTACAACAATTTAAGTAACCAGAAAATTAAAAGACAGAATGACTTTACAATTCACTAATCAAACAATTGTAAATGACCAAATATCTTAACTAGACTTAAATCTTACAGTTAGTTACAGTACACTTTACAAACTGGAACAAAAAACAAAAACAGTAGTTTTTGTTAGAAACTACCACAATGACGTTAACAAACATTCTGTTAAGTGTGACTACAAAGTCGCTATTATATGTTTTAAATAAAGACAAATTTCTTAACATTTTTAACATTATCGCTAATTTAATTCCAAAGTTTTGCACCTCTATATGACAAAACTTCTCTTCTTGTAGTCAGTTTTTGGTTTTGGCAATATTAAGTCGGGTTTAGTTCATATACCATAGTAATTATTTTTAAAGACAAATCTGTTAGATACATAATGAGGTGCAAGGTTATTCATAATCTTAAGTGATGGCTTCACTTATATATAACCTTTGGTCTAAATTCATCCATTTAAGGCTTTGCCGAGCTGAAGTGCTGGAATCACATCTTGATTTGTTTAAAATAATTTCAGCTGCACGGTTTTGAAGAATCTGGAGTGTTTTACTTTGTATTTGGTTGGTACGTCCCCATACAATATTCAAGGTGTGGTGCCATGAGTGAATTGTACAGTTTGCATTGGACATCTTTGGGAAGAATTATGAACATGGTTTGTAAGGTAGTTATAAAACAAAAAAACACTTTTGTGAAAATTGAAGTACAGTATTTAAGTTTTTAAGATACCGTATCTTAAAAATTATAAATTTGTTCAAATACAACTTTTTCAAGAATTTTTGATAACACTGGTAGAATTGAAATAGGTCTGTAGTTATTGCACTCATATTTATTTCCGCTTTTATGAACTAGACTTATCGGAGATTTCTTCCATTGATTTTGAAAAGTAGAGTTCAAGAGTGACAAGTTTACGATATAAGTTATAGGATAAACAATTATATAAATGACAATTTTAATAAGTCTAGCTGGTATTTCATGAATCAATCAATCCACATTTTTTGCATTTCTGCAATCCACAGCAGAAACAATGTTCAGTGGTGCTGATATTAACCGAACTTATTTCTAAATAGTAATTGGAGCAGTAACTTACAGGTATTCTGAACAAGACACGTCTGTAAAGGTAAAACTAGATAGACTTGTTAATTCCATATTTTGCAAAGATCTGAGAAATACACAAAAATACAGGAATGTGAAGAAAAATGATATGCTTTGTTTTTGTAGTTTTCATATTAGGGTCGAAAAAATATGTCATATCAATTGCATTAATAGCCATGTCAATGGAATCAAATAAAGTAAGATCTCTCTTTGGCTGTGTATATGTTAACCATTTTGATGATGAGGGCTAGTGGAACAAGTAAACACCTAAGATGGTTAGTGCCACACAGAAATCTTACATTCCATATAACTTTCTAGAATCACACAGATGTACTCAGCATATGGCCAATTATGTACCACAGAAATACTGTGCAATGAACTACTTAATGATGAGGGCTAGTGGAACAAGTAAACACCATTAAAAAATATGCTCTGTTCTCTAGGGTGTGTTACAGTGCAACATGGAAATTTTTTTTACATTCCATATAAATTTTAATATTAAGCAATTAGCAGACCTGCGCATAGTACACTAGCGGAAAATTATTTTACGCATGTCAGATTTAATGCTTGAAAAATAATCCTAAAGCCTGCAATTGGCTCAAAGGAAATTTTTGACTGCATTAAGTCTTACCTAATTATAACTAAAGCCCCTTTTAGACAGAGCTGCAATACTTCAATATTGCGGTAAAGTACGTCGGCATGGGTTTCTGTCTGAAAGGGTTGATACGCCAATATGCCGGCTTACTTTAGGCCACCTTGCACCCTAGTAATATTGCCGCAATATTGTGGTAACAGTTACCCATGGCTTGCTCTGCCTGAAAGGATCTACTCGATATTGCGGTAATCAAGCCGACGTGTGTATTTATGCATAAACAAACAAGGTTAATGTTGAAAACAATTGCGCGGTGGTATTTAAACTACCAATATTACGCCATTCTACAGGACCTTTCAGACAGAAAAGTGTAAGATTACCGCAATATTGCGGTAACGAGCACTGTGCGAAAGGGTATAGACGGATTATTATGCCGGCATGCTTATCTGAAAGGGGCTCAATGTACAGTATGCAACTCTACTAATTGCTTTATAAGTCAACAGCCGTCTTTTAATGTTAGTTTTGATAATCAACTATTGTAGCAGTCATATTGGTTGCTATAGTGATATGATCATACTGCTGTGTGTATTACATTTAGCTGTGCACACGTATGCTGCTCCTACGCTAGCTAGCGAGACGTTACACATCAGTTCGGATATTTTATTGTGTTTGAAGAACTTTTAATGTTATTTTGATAGACATTCGTCAAAGAAATAAACATTTCTTAAAGCATTTGAAAGAATACAGTAGGTCCTAATCACTTTTTGGTCAGTGTAGAAAGGTAAAATCGTGTAATGATTTCATATCTAGGCTAGGCTTCTTTTACGAAAGTTAAGTTTTCAATTACCACTTGTTAAAAAATTATATTATCATGTCTGTAAGTGAATGTCCCGATTCAGTTACATAAATTATATATTAATTTTAAATGTAAAGGTAAATCATGTAATGATTTCATATCTAGACTAGGCTAGTTTTACGAAAATTAAGTTTTCAATTACCACTTGTTAAAAAGTTATATTATCATGTCTGTATGTGAATTTCCCAATTCAGTTACATAAATTATATATTAATTTTAAAGGTAAAGGTAAAATTGTGTAATGATTTCATATCTAGGCTAGGCTAGTTTTACGAAAGTTAAGTTTTCAATTACCACTTGTTAAAAAGTTATATTATCATGTCTCTATGTGAATGTCCCAATTCAGTTACATAAATTATATATTAATTTTAAAGGTAAAGGTAAAATTGTGTAACAATTTTATATCTAGACTAGGCTAGTTTTACGAAAGTTAAGTTTTCAATTACCACTTGTTAAAAAATTATATTATCATGTCTGTAAGTGAATGTCCCGATTCAGTTACATAAATTATATATTAATTTTAAAGGTAAAGGTAAAATTGTGTAATGATTTCATATCTAGGCTAGGCTAGTTTTACGAAAGTTAAGTTTTCAATTACCACTTGTTAAAAAATAATATTATCATGATTGTAAATGAATGTCCCAATTCAGTTACTTAAATTATATATTCCATATACAATGCTATTATGTTGTACATACATTGTTTTTGCAGCTACAGAATTAAAAGCATACGGATATAAGTTTTTCAGTGGATTTCCTGTCAGCGATCTGTGAAGGGAATTAAACATATATAATATTTTTACAATAATAACAAAAGTATTTATATTAATAAAATTAATTTAAAAAAATAAAAATAATGTAATAATATTTATACCATGATTAATTTTAAAAATATATCATAATAGAAAATTGAAAACATATGACCAATGCCTGGGACTACTATAAAAATACTAAATTATGAATACTAAATATATAAATTTAGTTGTCTAAGCAAGTGTCAAATTTGTTAATACAAAGTGTTCCTATTTATGCCTAGGAAGGTACTTGGGGCAGCCAGGCTATGGCAATTTTTTGTATAAAACTGACTAAATAAAAGTCAGTATTACATGCAATGTTATATTGATTGAATCAAGAACATTTTAATAAATAGTTAGATCCTACTTACATTGTTGCACTTCCTGTAATGGTATTAAAACCATATTCTGCTATATATGAAATTTTGTTGTTACTTAAATTACTGAAAGTAGTTGAAACAAAACTGTGTTAACAAGTTACTGCCTCATGAATGGTTGTTTATATGTTAATTGTAATAGGCCTATAGCAGGCAAAACACCAGATTGACATCAGACAACCTAAGCAGCATTGGCTCTGCTGGTGGAGCAAACACAGTATAATAATAGAACACTTTTGAGATTTGTACCCAGGTGAAGTTGGGGTAACATCAGGGGTAGCACCAGCAGGGAGCCAGGAAGAAAGGGCCCCGTCGGGAAGAAAAACCACAATTTGTCGGGAAGAAAAAAAATTTATATGTATTTTCTACACATTAGTAGACACTAATATCGATTAAATAATGCTTAAATTCTCTAAATTGTCACTTTTTCGGGTGCTTCGCCCCTAAATCACTTTTCAAACATTTTGAGCAACGCCTGCTCATGCCCATGGACTTTGCTCTCGTCAGGGACATCGGCCCCCCCCCCCACCATTGGGGACCTCAAAACCCCCGTCGGGCAAATCCTGGCACCACTCCTGGATAACACACTTGCTCGTGTCTAAAGAGATACATGAAAGATTATTGTATAAGTTGTAAATCAAAACCTACTATGGACAGTACATGAATAGAATAAATATCAATTATGTTAGCAACCCAAGGCCGCCTTAGAATAAATATTAATTATGTTAGCAACAAGGCATCCTTAGAACAAATATCAATTATGTTAGCAACAATTAAGACATCCTTAGAAAATTGAAACTTACAGATCCTGAGACACTTGAACATCTTTGAATGAATTGGCAGGCACACTCGTTATTCGATTATTTTGGAGATAACTGAAATTCAATTGAAATCTATTAAACCAAGAAATACATCCACAAAAACTAAGATAACCCATAGATGCTTCCTTTGAAACTTGCCTCTCTAACATAAAAGATAATTATGGAATAGCTCTTGCTGTACGATATAGACAAATTTACCCATTCTTAGATTGTCTACTAGTCTTCTTCATGATTTCTGCAGACCTACTGTAGCTGCATGATTTGTTTGTGCTAGTGCCCATGATGGGTTTTCGTGATACAGACTTAATATATGCATCTAGGCGGATGCATGCTGTCTCGGAGAGTTCTGAGACACAGCTTCTTTCTCTGTAGGCCGGAGCATCAGCCTTCGTTAATCCAGGTAAAGTATTCATGAAATTCACATTACTTTTCAGGTGAAAGCTAATAATCTATTGAAATATTTACCACAGATACTATCTAACCAAGGACACTTCTACTACTGATACACACCATCACAAAATGGGTAGAGGTAAACTAGTGTGTACTGAATGATATGATTTGAAAAATAATATGAAATCTTACAAGTATGAGACAGTCAAGGAATGAAAGTCACCGCCCTGGGGTATCTCAGACAGTTCATTGTTGTTAAGATATAAGTAAGTAATCGAGCTCCTGTTAGCAAATGTTCCGTCCTCTATATATGCTATTTCATTTGAATCAAAATGGGCTGCAAATGACAGTGGGCAGTCTTCAAATGATGTGACTAGAAGACGGCCTAGCTTGTTCGAAGTCATATCTCTGTTAGATTAAAAAAATGTCTTTAAATAACCAGAGGAGTATCATGTTAACATTTTTCATAAAATAAATTTTTATTAAATAGTCTACCAAGTTTGACTAGTGACATAAATTAAAATGCATCTTATAATAAGAATTTACATTATCATATGTACAAACCCACCTATGCATGTTCAAAGCATAGTTTATTACCCTCAGCAGTGGCACATGTGCCTGGAAGGTTAATGGCACATGATTCTGTATGATCAGTTCTAAGTGCCTGGGCATCAATGGAATTACCTGAGGTCAATGGTAAATGTGCTTGGGGGGAAATGTTAACATACAATACCATTACATAAAATTGATGAAATATCAAAAACTCTCTTAGAACTTACAAATTAGTGAGACTTGTACATCCATCTAGAGCAGTATCTGGAATCTCATCAATGTTGTTGTATGCAAGATTCAGGTTTGCCAGGTTACTCATGTTGCGGAATGGATTTTCATGGAGAAAATGAAACTCATTTGATTGCAAATTTCTGCAGGAACAAACCAAACAAAATTTTAAAAAATTGATATAAGAATGAGGTGTCAATAATGGCTGGTTTCCACAAGATATCACCAAAACCTGTTTGTAATGCTGATAAGTTGGTCAATCAGGAATGCTGTAGCAATTGTAGTAAAAACACAAAGCGATAGCGTAGCAATTTTATGAAACCATAATTTTTGAAGGACAGTCACAGATAATGAAAACATTCAATTATGTTTGTTTGTAATATTTATTGCTGTCATAAAACAATACATTTACAAAAGATGAAAAAATACATATCTTAAATAAAACATTTAATATTATAAATAAAAAATGACATAGCAGAGGATAGCCCTTTAAGCTGGAATGCTCGTTTCAGAAGGGGTCCTCAACTTTATCAAACATCAGCAAGAAAAAAAAATACAAAGAAAGAACATAAAACATTTAAACATAATAAAAATATTACTGAATTAAAAATATAAGAGCTAAACTATACATACTAACAATATTTACTTAGGAATTCCTTAATTATTTAATTATATTCCCAAATTGTCATTTTTATCTATACAGGACAATATAAAATTTTCAATTTTTACATAAATTATATACAATTACAAAATTTCCATCCTATCCATTAAATGCCTTTTCAGAGCCCTTTTAAATATTTTATGGTCCGATAACTGTTTTAAGTGACGAGGTAGACGGTTTCAAAAAAATATTGCATTATAAAAAAATGTTTTGCTAAAGAGATAAGAGTTTTTTGGACAAATAAAGTTTATAGTTGAATTCCTCATAATTTTAAAATTTAAATGTCTTTCAAAATGTGATTGCATATATTCCGGTGAATTAAAATAAAATATTTTGTGAACATGATATAAAGTCATTCTGTTAATATATATCATTAAAAATTATCATTGCAAAACCCTCCGTATTTGGTTGTGGCACTAAATTTATATTAAATAATACTTACATGCTTGTCAATCCAAGTGGGAAAGTGCCATCTTCTATTGACAATATTTCATTGGAGTGTAAATAGAGTGTTCGAAGGGTTGACAAACTTGAGAACGTGTCAGCAAGTAAGAAGGCAATCTTATTATTGTTAAGATATCTGTATAAACAAATGTTAAATTAAGACACAGTAATATAATAATATAGCATATTTAATTTACTATTTTAATTGCTTTATCATAATTTAAATTTTACCTTTTTAATTTTCTTGTTGCACTGTATTATTGTTATAATTAGTGCTATTTAAAAAAATTTTAATTCTATATTTTTCACGTTAATATCTTAAGCCAGGCACTTATTGCATCTGACAGTTGATTCTATAAAGAACACAACGCGACGACGCACGCACAATAGATCGTTTTTAATGATGGTCCATTCACACTGCCACCGCCAATCAGTGGACGCCGTCACGTCGTCTACCGCTCACACGGTCGTCGGCGGTCGTACGATGCAGTGAGTGCCAGGCTAATTATAAAAAATGAGCATGAATGGCAAGTAAAAAATGACAAAAAATGATTTTCCAGCTTCAAGCTTAATTTACTTTGTTCACCTATATTTATATTTCTAAGCATTTATTATTATTAAAATATACTATTGTTACATTTGAGGTGATTACATTATTATGTAAAGAAAAATATAATTATCATACAAATAATGAATGTGTCTGAGTGCAATGGGAAGAATATTTTCATTAGTTGAAAGTCAATCTTTTAATGAATAAAAATATTCTTTCCATTGCACGAATACAAAACATTCATTATTTGTTTTATAACACACCTACATAGATCGGTTTGGCCTAGGCCTAGCAAGACTGGCCTAGGCCTATCCTCCGCGCAAAACCAGGCCTAGGGTCAGGCTAGAAATCCATCAGCGCATTTTGAAATATAAGAGCCAAATTTCACACATATTTTGCACAAGTTTGAGCTAGTTTTTGAGGTATCATCCATGCAATTAACATACTTTACTGCTGTTTACAGTAAACAAAATCTCTGATATATTACACACAGCTAAGACAAGTTCAGCAAGAAGTAGGCCTGAGAAAGGTTAGGTGGAGTGACATCATTTCATAGATTCAACCCTCCAGAAAAAGGCAGTGCTGCGTCTTTCTAACCAATCAAAAAATTGTATTAGGTTGAAGTCATTTCATATCTATAGGCAACGTGCAATGGACGATTCGGATGGAAAAATATGCAGGGTGGAACAAAATTAAACGATGAGCGATGAAATGGGCAAAATAACTAATGTCATGTGGTATGAAATTCACCAATCAAATGACCGGCATCTATTTAGGTGTTTCATAAAATACAATATAATGATAAACAGCTGTTAAAAAATAAATAGCAACTGGCTGAAATAATGGTAAATAATCTTCTACATAGGTTTATTTTATTGGAATTAAGAATAATATTAAGAATATTTGAAAAACAATCATATATGTACATTTAACATTAAACATATAACATATGATTGTGATTTTGGGTAAATATGCTATGTTAAACTTAAAAGAGTTTATTAAGCATTTGAACAGACAGCTGAGTAGGATGACATCTTAATTTCAATGGATATGTGGGTCTTGCATGTATTTAGTGAATTTAATTTACAAACAAGTGGTTAAACTACAAAGTAGATTATTTACTTACAATTGATTGATGTTGGGCAATCTGCTTTCATTCTTAACTGCATCAGGAACATATTGAAACCTATTAATTCCCAGTTGCCTAAGAAACAGGTACAAATTAATTAGAATTAGTATAGAAAACAAACATTCTGTGATATAAGGCCACCTCGCAAGTTATTTCCGTCCCATGGTAAAATATCATTGTTTGTTGATGATACCACACTATCTTTTGCTAATAGAAATGTTAATAATATTGAAAAAGCAATGTCAGAGGACATAAACAAAATTTGTTTGTGGATAAATAAAAAAAAAAAATGTATAAATATTGAAAAAACTAAAATTATGCCTCTGGGTACAAACTGCCGATTATCAAATAAAAACTTTAAAATTGATGTAAATGGGAATGAATTAGAAAGAGTTTACAACTATAAATGCCTTGGTGAAATTATTGACGATCAATTATCTTGGCATGATCATGTTAAGTCTGTATCTAAAAAAGTGTTCGCAACTCTTTCAATCCTAAAGCGTCTAAAACCTTTTATTAACCAATCTACTTTAAACCAAATTTACCTTTCACTTGTTCAACCACATTTCGAATACTGTAGTACTGTGTGGTCAAAACGCTTTGATAATGATCTTGATTTGACCAGACTCCAAAAACGTGGTGCAAGATTAATATTAAATTCAAATATTCTAACACCCTCTAAAGAAATGTCACTTGGTTGGTTACATTTAAGTGATATATTTGAACTAAAACGGTCATCTTTAGTATTCAAGTGTTTAAATGACAATGTGCCCGATTACCTTAAATCATATTTCAAACTTACTAATAAAAATCATAATCACTTTACAAGAAATAGTTGCAAATCACTTTCACTTGACAAATGTAAAACTGAATATTATAAGCATTCTTTTAAATGGCAAGGTACAAATCTGTTCAACACTTTAAATGATGTAACAAAGTCATCAAGTAATTTAAATGTTTTTAATCATTAGTGTAAGATTAATTATCTTTTATTGTATGTACTTAAATGTGTAAATTTTTAGTTAAGTTTTTGTTGTCTATAAATATTTTGTACCCAGGGCCCCAAGGGAGACAAGTCTCTTTGACTGATTGGACCACCCTGGTAAAATATTGAGAATAAATAAATAAATAAGATACAAGATGCAATATATTGTCAAATAATGATACATTCAAAATAACGTTTACATTGCAAACAGTGTTGAATTTTAACTAATGAATCCACTGTATAAGATCACTCCGGCCACAGACTTTCTTCTGGGCGAGACCCTGTTGGTCAGATTTTTTGTATTACACGACTGGGACTAGGACTTAACATTTGAATTTTTTTCTAGGTCAAACTCAGAGGTTGGATTTTTTTATTTTGGTTGTGAATGCTGAGTATTCAGTGAATTAAATCAAGATTGCTTCTACCTCCCCCCCCCCCCCCCGTGGGCAACAAAATAAAAAATTTATTTCAGTCTTAAAATGATCAGGCTTACTGGTGTAAAGTTGGAGCTATATAATTGAAATGTTACTTACAATGTAGAGACAGAAAGACAAGTAAAGGTTTCTACTTCCAGATTTGTCTCATCCAAAGAATTTGAATTGAGGTTCAAATTTCTAAGTGACTGTAACTTGCACAAATCCCCTTCATTGATGCCTTCTATTGAGTTATAAGATAGGTCTCTGTAAATAATAATAATAAAATAATAATAATAATAGTAATAATAATAATAATAATAATAACAACAATAGATGGATTTATATTGCGTAAAAGGCCTCTACGCACTCAGTAAAAGACAAAAAACTACTTTCCTATTTTATTAAATGGACAAGAAGACATGACATGACAAATTCAAAATATGAAAGGGCAATTATGTTGTATTATTAAACTTTTTTAAAGTAAGACATTCATTTATTTTTTTAATTTAGTAACTGTTTCATTAATACTGTTTGTCTCTTGTTAACTATATGCTCTTCATATAAAAAAAATCTCACATAAAGTCTTGTTTACTTTATTACAAAAACCAAACCTAATACAATAATGACATACTGATTATTATTGTTTATTTTCAAGAACTATTTCAGCTATTTCTTTTCTATTCTTCCTTCTTCCTTTATTCTTTTACATTTTTTATTCATAACTAACAGATTACTTACACATACTGTACATTCAATAAGCTTATTTTTAAATTACACTTTTTTATGTTTTAGGGTTGGCTTTTATGTATAAATTGTGTCTGTATTTAACATGTTTCTATATAAATTTGTATTTGTATTTAGATTTCTAATAAAACATTATACTTACAAATCTGTAACACTTGACAGCATAAGGAATGGATCATGTAAGTTGAGTTTATAGCTATAATACGTCAAGGCAGAAGAACTAAAAGCATCCCTTGCATATGTTGTTATGTTGGTGATGTCATTATGATCCAAATATCTGTGAAAATTCATTAAAAAAAACAAATATAATGCTTTGTCTTTATACAGTTTGTTAAAACAACCAAAGAGCAGCCTAGACTATAATCACCATAGTCACAAATTGAGTGATTCTCAGTTATGAGAAAAATTCTAGCACTTACAGGATTTCTATGGCCACTGAATTACAGACTAGTCTAGAACCTCATCTAAGCTACACCTCCAAAATGGAGGCCAATCATCAACAGAAATATAATTATATTGAATTAAATTAAAATTTTAAAGGCATATGAAAGAAAAAATATGCCTCCATGTAGGATACACTCATATTTCAGTAAATTGAATAAATTTTAAAATGCAAGCCTGGCAGGTCTTGCTGCTTTTGTGTGTCTTGATTGAAAAGCAGACTAATGAACATTGTCCCAGGCTCCAGCCTACCCAGAACTAAAAGTATGTTCATGTGTATATGTGTGTCTGGCAAGTGGGGGGAACTTACAAAAAATTAAGTTTTGGATAAGATTCCTCCGATAGAACTGGATGTGGGAAAGTGGTTAAGGCATTATCGCTAAGCCACAGGTTAACAAGCTCGCTGCTAATGCCTTGGAACGCATCATACGTTATCACCGACAGCTTCGCGTTTAAGTCATCCTCCTGAGAGTGAAGAATTCTGAAAAAAAAGCAAATAACAATGACATAAGGTTACTTTTTTTACTCACAACCAATGAATCAAGCATGAATACGCAATGCGCTGCATACATAAATGAAAGAGTTCAGTTGTTTCTTTCTGTGAATCTACCCTTTAACAACCAACAATGATACTTGTGTTCTTTTGTAGATACAAAAATTTGCCATATAATAAACAACTTACAAAGTTCGAAGTTTTGGTAAATTAGTGAAATACTTGGATCTCAGGGCAGTAAACTGGTTTTGATTTAACTCTCTGTAAAACAAAACAACTGATATCAAATATTGCAATGTTAAGTAAAATGATCAATAATTAGAAATTAGTAGAAATCCGCATTGTACACTATAGGAAAATTATTATACGAAGGTTAGATTTAATGCTTGAAAAAATCAATTGCTGTCTTCTAATGTTAGTTTTGATAACAAACTATTGTAGCAGTCATCAGTTGCTATAGTGATATGATGGATACTGTGTGTGCGTATGCTGATTTTTTTGCTCCTGCAGTGCGCGTTAACTACACATAAAGACACTAGAAATATTTCTAGTATCTTTGCTACACATCAGCAGTACTGTCAGTACGGATACGATGAATTAATATTGCAATTTGTATTGTGTTAGATAAACTTGTTTGTAATGTTATTTTGATAGACATTCGTCAAAGAAATAAACAATTCTTAAAACATTTGAGAGAAAATACAGTCACTGACTTTTTGGTCGGTGCAGACAGGTTAAAAATTGTGCGATGATTTATAACTACGCTAGGCTACAGCTTGGTACTAGTAGTAGGAGGCCTTGGCGGCCTCCTGTCTGGCCGAGGCCTACATCTAATTTCGTTCCTTGAGTCTAGAATATTCCTATTAAACGTTCAGTTTGTTTAGTATATTAGGGTTTATTGCTTCAAGGAATTCCTTAATTGTTCATACTTAATATTGCGTTTCAAGTAACTTTCTTCAGGTTCTAATTAACCTTGTTTTACGAAAGTAATTTTCAATTACAATTTAATTTTCATCGCGGTACGCGATACCTTTGCGGTGAAGAAAAATTTGGTATTTTTATTTGCACACCAACCTAAAAAAAATCAAGCCAAGCGTCCATTATTGAAAAATTATTGGACTGTGGAGGATAGGCAAACAACATTGGTAGTTGCAGTGATGACATCACGATTGACTTATAATTCAATATATTATCTATCAAAAGCATCATTAATCAATCACCTAAATTTACATGGTTTAAATGCAAAGAAAAAAATCCCTAATGGCTAGAGTGCATCTAAAGCAGCAATCAATCAATCAAATACAATAAATAAAATCAAACTATTAATCAATCAATCAAATAATCAAAATATAAAATTTATTATATTATCAATCAATCAATCTATTATTCATCAAAGGCACAATCCATCAATCAATCAATTTTATCTAGCCATCAATAATACAATTATTCTTTTAATAAACCAATTGAATAAAAAAAATTAAGGAACCTTGATACTGATAATCAGCTACAATCATATTCTTATAACACAACTGAAATTCAAAGACTTACAAATGTAGAAGCTCTGGTATGTTATCAAATGCCTTCTGTTGAAGTGTTGTCAACTTATTTGCATGTAGTTCTCTTTAAGAAAACAATTTGGCTGATAATCATTTTCAGGATTTTGTATAGCAATAATAATAACATATACGTTTTTGATATAGCACCATATTTTTCTTTATTATTACTCATTCGTATAAAAAGTGATAAAATAACTCACAAGATTTTGAGTGACTTGAGCTGACTGAAAGCTTTTGGAGCTATGTAGTTGATTTCATTGTTGCTAAAATTTCTGTAAAATTTCAAAACCTTTCTCATTTATATATGATAATAGATAAAAAGTTAATTGTGTACCATAGTTTACTATAGTAAATAGGTATGGCTTAGCATATCATTTGTTATTACACCATTTGGCCTCATAGCTCAGTTGTAGTAGTATTATAATTGGACGATCATGGGCTCCAAACATCAATGGAGAAATACAATTTACTAATATATTAATTATTATCTTAAATGTCTACCGGTGGAAGTTACTATACATAGCCGTCGGAAGCATTTTGCAAGTGGTCCTGCCAGTATAGTAAGAGCTATGGGGTGGGGGTGGGAGTTAAGCGCTTAACAAATTTGGTTTTTAAACTGACCCACTAACCCTAACCTCGTACAGACTTTAGTGGGGTCTCCAACCCAGATCCCATAGATGCTGACAACCTGGTGCTACCACTCCCCTTCAATTGCAGCCACAATATTCAGGATGAGATAGAGTCTTTGGGAATATGGCACTTCTGCATGCTCGAAAATAGCAGTCGGCAAACCTGTAGGGCCTCACTGCTCTGCATTGACAGACATAAGATTTAATGTTAGTAGGGACTAGGCTTCATAACCTGCTCAGCCCCACAATGGACAAATAGAGACAAATGTAGGTCTATAGCAAAAATGATACAAATACATTATAATGTTTGTTTGTTTGTTTTTATTTCTTGCTCTTTTTGTACAAAAATCAAATGACCAACCAAATACAAAGGAAATTTAACATCACCAAAAAAAAAACAAAAAAAAAAAACACATTACATTATACATCATAATCAATTAAAGAAGAAATTTAAAGGACAAGAGCAATTCCAGGAAGGAAAAACATCAAAAATTTTCAAAGAAAAAAAATACAATGAATAAGAGTGCCTGGTGTATTCATGGGAGGCCTACAAATACGAACACTGTAGAATTTTGAATAACATACTGTACTGCTGACATACAATTTGAACTACACTTACCGGTATTTGCAAAATTCGGCCTGAAGCTCTACCAAATTATTTATCATACGATTAGATGAGTTGTACTAAATCAGTTTTTCAATCAATACTGTTATGTTTGCTTTTATTGCTAGGCTTAAACCAATTACACTTTAATTTTAGTCAATTCTTGGTTTATACTTAATAATAGGGCATAAAGATTCAAGGGCGATCCAGCTTTCACAGGGGTTCAGAGGTTCTACCATGCCCAGAAAAATATTAATTAATTATGAAGATGAAGATGATGATCGATGATGATAATTATGATGATGTCAATGGTCGATTTCGATGATGGTAATGGTAATGATGATGTTGACATAGCAGGTGCAATTGAGAAAAAGTGGTTTGGTCAAAGCCGGTGTGGCCGGTGCGGTTTCTGACGGCCCTGATATAGTCAACATGACAAACGCAAATTTAAATGACATACAGATGTTGCACAGGTGTCCCAGCCAATGCCTCAAGGTTTCTCTTTGATATAGTTTCCAGCAGATTTTGGTCAATGGACATAAACAGAAGTTTCGTCATCTTCATCACAGCATCAGTTGGAAACTTAGTCATTAGGTTCATGCTAAGTCCTCTACATTAAGACAGATTAAATTTGCAAATTAACTCTCACAAATTATGTATCAGAAATCAAAGACAAAATATAAGAATACAAATTTACAGACTAACAATCTTTTTGTGGGCATTGGCCTACAGTATAAATACAAGAATGGTCAGTGATGCAGTAGGTAGGCCTGTTATGGTCACATGGTGTAGGCCTGTTATGAATGATCAGCGAGAATGTCCTCACTACGCATCACAGAGGGACAGGGGTAGTACGTTTTAATTTAAGTAAGCCTAGAGGTGTGTCTTGGCAGTTAATGCCACTTTAGACATGATTATCCATGTTTACATCACCACAACTAGCTGCTGTGTTACAAATACTGGCAAAGGTACATTTTTAACAGGTTTCATGTTTCTTTTATACAAAATTCCAGAAGGCAGTGGCAGCTATGCATTAATATATATATACTATATATGATATAATTTATGACAGACCCTCTATAGCATCTATAGGTCTGTGATTACATACAGACAGAGTCTGTGGTTATGATAGTTTCTCAACTTACAAGAATTCAATTTTAGAGTTTGAGAAAAATCCATTAGGCAACCTGTCAATCCTGTTGTTAACCAAGTTCCTGAAAATATAATAAATGGCAAAAAAGATATTACTATGAGAACAGATAATTTTTTTATGTAAAAGGATAAAAATAGATAAAGCCAATGCAATCAAACTACTTACACATGTGTGAGTGATGCCGGTAACCCTTTGAACTCATAGTTCGTCTCAAACTTTAGCTGACTCTCAGAAATCTCACTACAAATAATATATCATTAATAGTATTACTATAAATGTATTAGCTTTCGATAAAATTATAAGCAAAAATATATTTTTTCCCTAAGTAAAATATTATATTATAGGCCTACTAATAATTTTATTCTGGTGAAACTAAGTTGGCAATGATCATAGCACTGTCAATCTAATCATGGTGTACTGAAGATTTTATGATTTTTGTTATTGATACTCGCCATGCAAACTTTCAAGAAATATTTTATACAGTAAAGTTCATTATAAAACTAAATATAATACAGTTATTATAACTATATCTTACAGTATTTCCAGACTTGTGCATCCAGATATATCAGGGAATTCACTGAGACTGGTTTGATGAATAATACTGAATGGTATTGGAAAAAATCAAAACAATTAATGTCCATGAAAATACATAACAAAGTCACTATTTTAAGTTCTGTCAGTTGAACTGTGAACTGTACATTTCTAAATTACCCAGTATTTTCAATGTAGGAAAAAAAAATCAGGTATAATAAATTGAAAGTTCTGATTGGATAACAGTATAGGCTCTACTGTAGAGTATCATACTGTTGAAAGAATGATATACTGCATCAATTATCAATATAGTATGCTGGGTTAACTAAATAGAATTATTTGGTGCAAACATTTTGTATCTACTGTATCCTCCCTAGGCTATGGTCCTGTTGTCATCTCATCCTTTCTTGCCTACGTACTCTTGGTACATCCATATGCCTTTATCAGCTGTTTGCATACCCCTTCTTTATCTATCCTTCTCCCATTTCTACTAGTTTATACTCACAGTGTCTGTAGACTGGATAGTCCTGCAAAGGTCCCATTGTGAATATACTTAAGATTACCAATAATAGTACTAAGAACGAAAAACATAGATATTTGATTACAATATAAATTATCTTCCTCACCACTGTATTATTTTTCATTTTACTTCCACATTATTATTGTAATAAATATGATACTGCTCAACTAGTACATTATATATCAAATCTAAAATTGAAAATGTGAATAAGAAGATAATTTTTAAACCAAATGAGGCAGCATTTAAATAATACAAAATCCAATACTTTTTGCCCACACCCATATATTTCTGCCAGTAAAGCATCTGAAAATCATTCAAAAAATTATTAATTTTCTTTTTATTTTTTTGATCTGTGATTTACTGATACTCAATTAGATAATGTATATGGTTCTTTAAAATAAGCAATTCAAAGTTTTTCAATATTTTTCTTTATTTTATTTGGGTGGCTATTTGGGTGGCTACCCTTTAAAATTCCCTACAAAAAAATATACAATGATTAAACAATAATTCAGTATAAAAACTTACATTGAGGTTACACTCGGGGAAAATGTAATTGCTGTTAAGTTATCGAAGTTTTGATTTACAAGTTTGCTGAAAATTTTAAAAATACATAAATTTTAAGCACTCATATTATTACATACAGAATGTAATAAAAATGAAAGGCTGGCTAGAAAGCTTATTATATTAAAAGAGTTGTAAACACTTACACAGTGGTTGCTGATGAGCAGTCGACTGTTAGCTTGGTAACATCACATGTGCAGCCGCTACATGTATTTGCGCTGTATTCCGAGTTTGATTTGCCATAACCAGTTGATCCATAGTTATTTTTGTCATCTGACCATAAGCCTGTAAACATGTCATTTCCTGTAAATATAACATTAAAGATTCTAAATGCTTTCTGTGGAATAAAGATCAACATTTCGTCGCTCACATCACGAACTACAGTAACACAATCAAATTAGATTGTGTTAGTTCGTGAAATCACAAAAGCGCGTTAAAATACGCGCAGTGGTCATTACGGACTTTTTTGTGATAAAGAATACGAAAGTGCCTGACAAGCAATACGCGCTCGTTTTGACGCGCTACTGTGATTTCACAAACTAACACAATCTACTTTGATTTTATTAGTTCGTGATGTGATCGACGATTTGTCATCTTTATTAGAGTATCGTTAAAATATAAGATCATAAATTAAGCATAATCTTACAATGAATGAATTAAGTTTTTATTAGTTGTATGAAAAAAGTGCATCTGGTAATTTGATCCTGCAACATGTCTAAGATTGTGGCATACTGCTAGACCATAAAGGAGTACGAGTATTATCATGTTTTTACATAGTTGACAAAAAATGTTCTTACCTGTTAAATACTCAGGATCTAAACCACCATCGGCGTTAGGATACCGGCTATTCCAGTAATCCGCACCTTTCCAGATACTCACACACTCTCTTACAGTACTCAAGATCACAAGTACTCCAATAAAAACCTTGCCACTTATTTTGACTTCCAAGTTGATCAACATTTTAATCGGCATTCATAAAGATATTATTAAGGTGGTCAGGTATGTTGGAATCCTGTGAATGAATGAAATAAAAAAGGAATAACATGGTGTTCTATAGAGCAATGACTCCTTTACTTCATTATTAACTGTATGTTTATTTTTACAAAATGTAATTTAAAAATTAGCAATAGAAATAGTAAGATATTAGTATAGTTAAGGAGAGAATTTTTTTACACTCTTGTTTTGCAAACTTAATTTTTAAAGATTGTCAGAGGAGGGTGGAAAAAGATATAAAAATAAAAGTTTGTTTTATTAACTTGGTTTTGCCAAAAACATCCAGACAGAGCAAAAAATAAAAATAAAATTGTATTATCATAAAATAATATCATTGCCAACTTAGTTTCACCAGAATTATTAGTAGGCCTATAGTATAATATTTTACTTAGGGAAAAAACATATTTCTGCTTATAATTTTATCTATAAAAGCTAATACTTTTATAGTAATACTACTAATGATATATTTAATAATATTTTTTTAAAAATAAGATTTTTTTTTTTGGTTCCAGAGATTTTCTTGAAAAGTATGTTGATAAAAGTATCAAAAATTAAAGTTTTGTCATCCGTGTAACAATTCTTCCATATTTTGACGTTAAGGCACTTTACTATTTCATGTGATTTACTGATATTAATTATTTATCAATACCTTGAGAAATATATGTGTCCTAATGGGAAAATCCAAGGGTGTATACCACTTGGCCTCATACAGTAGCTCAATAGGTAGAGTACCAGAATGGTTATTGGAAGGTTTTTCTTAAATATTTATTATATTTTCAGAACTTTCCATTATTTGTGGCAACAGGTGCCCTAATTGGCCATAAATAACATTTTATTTTTATTCAAAAATCATCATTATTGGTGGGCGGTGGGTTCGGTAAACAAGGTATAAAAAAGTCTTGCCTAAATTACAAAATATTTTTAACTACTGGTACCAAATTGTATACATAAAGTGACTGTACTCATTTAAATTTCCATGCACCATATATTTGCCTAAAATAAAATAATGATATATAAATTTATACTTAAAAATATTAATGGCAATATTAATGCTAAAAATATTAATATACTGGCAGTTAATTAATACAGAAGATATTTTAACTACAGTACCATATCAAATACTACTACAGACGACAAGTGTTCTCCATTTTTATCACTGTGGCTTAACTCTTTTGTTGCCCTTTTGAATCCATAATTTCACAGAAAAGGATAATGAGTCACACTTGTATTGTGCAATGAGACAAACGTTGAAAAATCAATCACGGGTAACTGCTTATTTGAAAAACAGACTTACCTTTAACACTACAATAAGTTTCTGTTGCGTGGCAACATGACAACTGTACAGTAGTAGTAGTAGGTAAACACAAGAGGCAGGGTCACTCTGTGGCAAACAACAAAAGATTCTTAGTATTCTCTGGATAGCAATCAGTTTATGAAGCTATGAGAATAGTAAAAGAGGAACAGATATTCAATATTACAGTAATTACAAACCCACATAGGGAATGGCAGTATGTGTCTGATGTTAACAGTAATGCAGTGGTAGTGACTGCACTGATACTATATGCCTTTTGTAAATGCTATTTAATTTTCAATTTATTAAAATATACACATAACATACTATGTACCAGCATTTTGAAGCCTCATTAAATTTTTATTCCATGGTAAAAACCTGGTATTTTAAAATATCTCTCTCAATTTTGTTTTTATAATACAATTACAACAATAATATAACAATGATAATAAGGCATAATTTATAATAACAGCTCAAACAATTAACAAATTAGTAATAATAAACTATGATTTGATTTGAATTTATTTGGAAAATCACTTAAATACTACAAAATAAAGACAAAACTTAAATATGTTATGAATTAATTAAATTAAATGAATATGATCGTGGACAACTCAAAAAAACCTTGTGGGATTATCCATTGGGATCAATCTAATACTTAAATAACAAATACTTCAATTAATAAAATATGTAATAACAATTACAATTATAGCATCTTAACTAAAATACTGAATATCAAAAACTTATATCAACAATTGCGAGACTACAACATCATTCAAAACATTTCTATATCCACAATTGCAAGACTACAACATCATTCAAAACATCTATATATCAACAATTGCGAGACATATAGCATCATTCAAAAAATCTCTAACTCAAAACAGGAGATCATTTTACATTTTATTCATTCTTTATTCAGCCAACTGCAAGAAAACAAATCATGAAAACAAATATCTAAAATCAAATATTGAAATATAAATTCTATAAAGTGCAATTTAAACATTAAAAAAGAAGGTTGTAATATGTTAAGTGCCTGGAATTGATGCTATTCCTTGGAGTGTAGTTTAAAGTGGATTCTAAACAAGCTAGCATCATTCATGGCCAGTCTGCATGTTTACACAGCAAAGTTATTGACAAGATTAACAATTCTCAATAGGTATTATTACTATGTATTGTGTAAACAAGTGAGCAATCCTAGGCTTCTGTATGAATAAAGAATAGAAGTTAAACAGATAGAATTACAGTCTGTATTTTAGGTAAGAGCTTCTAATGTAAATTATTTCACTAATAAAATCAATAACATTAACAATATATCCTTAACACATGAGGAAATGATACAGATTTTTTTTTATGCAATCCCTGGGGGAGGGCATTTTTTATTTTGTTTAAGTTCAGATCATCCTCATGTTTCAATGAGTTAAAATTAATGAATCAAATCGATTTCTAAATCTGATTTTTTTCATGAGGAAATGATACAGATTTTTTTTATGCAATCCCTGGGGGAGGGCATTTTATATTTTAAGTTCAGATCATCCTCATGTTTCAATGAGTTAAAATTAATGAATCAAATCGATTTCTAAATCTGATTTTTAAATTTTTTAAATTTAAGATGCAATACATTATTATTATCATTTATTTTAAAATCAAACCGAATTATAGTTTATATATAGGTAGGCCTACAGTAAATAAAATAATTTATAATAAATCACTTTGCTCCTAACATTAACAATATGCAACACAAGGAAATAATTGACTATTAGAAAATATTCGAATAAAAAAAAATTGTCCACTCAGGGACACCAGGGATAAATAATTAGCTTCAAATAATGATTTCCATTTTCTTACTAATTTTATAATATTTAGGCCAGAGGAATAATACAGCATTATTCAATTTCAATCCTGGGTGGATTAAGTTCATTCTGAAATTTGCACAATGTGATGTACATGAGTCTTGGAATGAAGGATATCCACCATACAGCTGTACTGCTTCACTCCTATGCACCAAGTTCAATAGAGCATTATGTACTGTAGTAGTAGTTGTAATCAATATTTAATTCTTTTAATGTTTTCTTTTCAACAGAATAGCTAATGATAAAACAACATCATAGGCATTCAAATTATTGATTAAGACAGAGTTCTACGAGTTAAATTTTTCACATATTAAAACAACCTGCTTCACACTCAAGATAATCAATAGTAAGAAATATAAAGGCATCCAGTTACAATTAAAAAAAAAACAAATTATAATTGGAAATGATCAGGTTGTTATGCTCAATCTTAATATATGGGGCTTATAGGCAGGGGGTGGGAGGTAATGTGATAGAACTGCAATACAAATTCTGACGTAAAAAAACAGGCATATGATATAATTTTCATCCAAGTTAATAAATCTTACATTTTGAGATTATTTTTAGTAGAAACCATTTTTGTTTGAAGATTTGTAAATAAAAATGGAAAAAAAGCACTAAAAAAAAACCAATTTAAAACATTAAATAGCTCATTAAAGAGATTTAAAAAGTATACACTGTAACAGATTTACAGTCCTTATAAATATCCATTACCAATACAACCAGCCCATGCAAACAAATATTTACTGTATCATGCCTATTTCTGTTTACTCCCCTGCTGCTCTATTTTAATCTAATTATAATTAGCACAAAAAAAAGATTATTTAATTGAAATTAATAACCTACACAATTTGAATAGCTTTTCTTGAAAATAAAGATTTGTCTATTAAAATAATTTTGTGATTCAGCAAGTCAATGATCTTACTTTATAGGCCTACCATAGCCGGATCTTTATGTTTATTCTTTTAGTGAACTTGACCTTTGAAAGATGCATATCTACATTGGTCAACAATTCTGTGATTACAGTAAGTGAGTACTCTCACTCACACATCCTTGACAATCACACTTTGACAGTACTGATGCTGTACACTGGAAACATTTACAGTAATTCACAGTAATTCTACAGTACAGTATTGTTTCAAAACCATTATCTAATGGGTTCTATACAAAAATGAAATATATTATTAAATATTATAATTAATATATATTAATAATATGATTTGACATTACACTTTTACAACAGTGGCAGCACACAAGAAAGTTGCGCAGTCAAACCTAAACTAATGAACAAAGAGAAAAACAACAACTTAAAGCGAAACAAATGGAAGAGCTTAACTAAAGAAAATACATTTAGAGGTTAAATTAAACATCCCTCACCCTCCCAACACAAATAATGTACATACTACACATTATGTGCATATCCAGTACCAAATACATATAATTACAGTACTTATTCTTGTTTATAACTTTTACTGTTATGGTTAATGTAAACACCATTATTAATAATTTCATTATTACTAGGCCTATAATATTAAGTGCACACAGGCTTGTGTACATTTGTCATCTGTCTTTAAGTTCTTTCAAGAAGACTCGGTTCTAGTTGAACCCCAGTATGGTAGAGGATGGTCTCAATCCACCGCCGATGTTTAGGCTATAGCAGCGTCTGATTGCCACTTGGTTATTAGTTTGCCGATTACCCACAATAAAATCATCTGATATTAATCAATCATTTCACTGATATGTATGGCATTACCACACTATATCCATAGTGTATACTGCCAACAGGCTATTTAGAAACTCCTTACTCCTCCCCAAAAAATCCTTTAAAGTTCAGGCAATTTACTAATTTCTGAAAGCCTTTTCTACTATAAATATATTATCATAATGTGTGTAAATTAAATTTCAGCCTTTTAATCCGTGCAGTGGTGTATCTAGGGGAGGGGGAGGCTCACATAAAAAATTACTTTCGCTCCCCAAGTCAACCCCCACCCCAAAAATCAAGTTGTTAAAAATCACCAAAATTACTATATTTTGCGAATTGATCATCGAGCCCCCAAACATGGTGGGACTGAAGTGGTATAGATTCTCCATCTGCTGAAGCAAGGCAATTCAACAAAAGGACGCACATCTCGGGACATCAAAGGTTAAAACTCTGGCATCGACATTCTAGGCGCACGTGCGTCCCTGCACGATGAATGTCACAAAAACCTTAGGAACCAGATCATAAACCGTCAGCATATGTGACGAATTACCCACGCGTGTGTTAGTTGCCATGATAATCGCACGTCGCGCAATGATTGCAAAGGACTAATGATATTTTGCACTAACATTAGACTGAAATATATTCTTCATTTCAACATTCACCAAAATTGTGGTGAATTGTTGTTCATGAGACTCACTTCGCAGAAAAAATTAATAAATGTTCTGTATATACTCAAATGTTCGTTTTTGGCACCTTATGCCAACCTTGTCAAAATGACAGATTAATGTTACATAAGAACATGAAACTTTATAAAATTCGTAAATTTTAAATTGCTATAACTTTTCATAAGTTTTCTTGGTTAATTTTCACAAATCAAATTGCAGTTTATAGAAGCATTTAACAAGCTCGCGGTAAAAAAAAATAAGATGTAACAGACATTGCAAAGTACCCAAAATGAATAAAATAAAAACTAACACCATAAAACGAATGGCACGCATAGACTAATAATTGACGGCTGTACTCGCAACTAGTATCGGATTGTCGATGCCACAGTAAAGATCAAAGGACTGTACGCATGCGCTATGTTCGAGAGCGGAGATGTGCGTCCTTTTGTTAAATTACCTTGATATAAATATGGAACATGACCGAAGTCCGTTTCGGTATACCAAATATACCTCCCATGTCATGAAAAAGACAGAAGAAGTCCGCCCTCTTTGTCGTTGGGCAACTCACCGTGTCGTCGTACCCCGCCCCGCCGCCGTCGCTAGAGTTCCTTAGCCGTCGCGATGTCGTAGCGCCGCTAGGCGGCGCTGTAAAGCGGTGCGCTATACGATATTCAGCTTATCGTTGATTCGTTTAAAGTGAAGAAGGTCTTCAAAGTGTGGCAGTTATTTAGCTTTTTTACAAACAGCTACTGGTCTACAAACCTACTACTAATCATATTATTTGGAATAAGTGCTTCGGCCATAAGTCACCTATATAGCCAATATCGGATGAATTTGTAATATCGCCAGGGAGGTGATATCGGTCATTAATTGTTTGCTAGGCCTAGAATTACTAAAATGAGTGCAGCAGTTAAAGCAAATAAGGCGATCTTCGCCGACGGAGAAAACTGTAAACCCGCATGGTCAGAAGCTATGGCATGCTTCAGCGGAAGTGGGAACACTCACCTCGAAATCATGGGTAAGCCTGTAATGGAGCGATGGGAGACAGATTTTATGCACAAATTAGCCGACATTGCCAGTTCTAAAGGTGGGTATTCTTACATAAGAACATGAAATTTTATAAAATTCGTAAATTTTAAATTGCTATAACTTTTCATAAGTTTTCTTGGTTAATTTTCACAAATCAAATTGCAGTTTATAGAAGCATTTAACAAGCTCGCGGTCAAAAAAAATAAGATGTAACAGACATTGCAAAGTACCCAAAATGAATAAAAAAAAAACTAACACCATAAAATGAATGGCACGCATAGAGTAATAATTGACGGCTGTACTCGCAACTAGTATCGGATTGTCGATGCCACAGTAAAGATCAAAGGACTGTACGCATGCGCTATGTTCGATAACAGAGATGTGCGTCCTTCTGTTGAATTACCTTGGCTGAAGTACCCAGTGACGGATTCAAGGGGACCCAGCGGCCCACCCCTACCGCCCTAAATTGTTCAATAAAAAATGGAGATAATTATAATAAAAGATATAAATTATAATAAAAGATAATTATGACTGTGGTCAACGGCGGCGGAACGTCTTTAAAGTTGGGGTGGGGTGGGGGTGGTGAATTTCATAATAAGGTCCAGTAATGTATGCGAGCGAAGCGAGCAGGCTATATGGGATGGGGGGCAGGTGGGCCGCCGTTGGGGGTCCTAGGGGCGAAGCCCCATGGAAGCTACGAATATTTTACGAAGTTTGGTGAATTTTATAAATAAGTTACTTTCTTTATCAAGGCATCAAGCTACTGTAATATGATTTCATATATTTGTTTTAATTTCCAGTGGCGGATTCAGGAATTCAAAATAGAAGGGCCCAGGGAGGGTACTTTTACAGATAGAAGATATACCTCAGCCACACCATGGTCGGGGCTGAGGTAAGAAAATTTGTGATTATGGCACCTCTAGATGGCCGGAAATTGCACTTTCCTGACATAAAATTTGAATATAATTACAATCTATAAACATGGCACTGTACTTTTAAAATAAACACAGAAATATATATGAATCATCAAGACCAAGACCAAGAAAACACTCGTCGTAGGCCGGACCCGGCGATTGTATAACCCTCCTCTCCTCTGCATGGTACATAGACTAGAGTACACAAACCCCATCAGCGGAGGCTACCTACCAATCCAGTTTAAATTACTGTATAATTATCGTACGTGCTCGTATCGTAAAAGAGCTTTACTCACAAGGCTATTAACATCAATTCCAATTTAGTCTTCCAAGACAATGGCACTGGCAGTAAAAATAATCACATCCATTTCTTTGAAAAATCTTATGGATAAACCTACCACCTGCTCCTGATGCAATAACGAACTTCACTCCAATACTTCCCTCACCTAATAACAGCTGACAGTATTCTGATTTTCAATCAGCCAGCAGCGCATCCGCAAGTAGATCAATTGAAACACACCCCCATGCTACAGTAATCGATTAATACAGTCTTCTCTCGGCCCGTTACCGTAATACCGTCAGTACTAACCCATATACTCTATTAGTAAGCCACAGGAGTGCGCCAGCGGGGGATGGGGTGGGGGAGGGGAGAAAAAAATTATAATGTAGGACTACTTTGTACATATTAGTAGACTCTAAATTTGAAACCCCTTTTCTGTCAAAACTTTCTGGGGCTTCGCCACATACAATAGACCACTGTCGAAACATTTTAAGAGACGCTCGACCACGCCTACTTTGCTCTCGTCGGGGAAATATCGGGCCGGCTTAAACCACCAAGATAAACAAATTCACGATTCAGATTTTCTTTTGTTCCAAATGCCATTAACATCTTTAACAATAATTTTAAGAGAGCATTTGAATATAAAGTCTTTTTAATGAATAGTAAAATAAAATTTTATTGGGCAAATTTAGTTAGGATCTTGCTTGTTGAACAGTTTTGTCATCATCTTTTTAGTTGTTATTGTATATTCTTGATGTATTTTTTGCTTGTGGTCTAGTGTTATGTTTTCGTCCTGCCAAGGAAAATAATTTTCATGAGACTTATATTTTAAACTCATGACGAATAAAGTGATCTATGTCTTTGTCTGTCTATCTTATTCCTCGTCGGTTGCATCGTCTCCCACCCCCTTGTCGTGGACCTCAAATCCACGTCGGAGAAATCCTGGCGCCACCCCTGGTAAACCATCCCCTACCATAGAAATCTATGATTTTAATCTGATCACTCTATAATAACCCATGCGAGGTTACTATTACTGATCATGTGGCGGCTCTACTTTCTGATGGGGGTAGGGGGACTTCTCGTAGGTAAGAGAGGGTCCCTTTCCAAATGAGATATTTTTTAAAGAATTTTAACCTCTGGATGGTCAGAAAGGGCTCTCTCTACTGTTACAGACATGTGATTGCTTGGCTTGAGCCTATTTTTATATTTTTTATGGTCTGACTGCCCGACGAGCTCTGTCGGATGGAAGGCTTGACTTGACCAGTGGCAGCTTCCCCTGCCCTGCCCTTCCCCCGCTGGCGCCGCCACTGTTAGTAATACCAGTGGTGCAGTGGCGGCGCTAGGGGAGGCAACGGGAATTCCCCCCAGAAAATGTACTTGCCCACCCTACCCAGTTTTCTCCACCCAGTTTTCCCCACCCCAAAACAAGGGGGGAAAATGTCAGGGAGAAAAAAATAATTATATGTATTTTCTACAGGCCTAGACTATCAATCTATAAAATCGACTACAGTAAATAATCCTCTGAAGCCCCTAAATTGTCATATTTTTCGGGCTCCGGGGGCTATTTTCGAAACATTTTAATCGACGCCCGACTACACCCACCGTTTACTCTCGTCGGGAGCCTTACTCCTTGGTAATTTTCCTTAATGCAGAGCATTTTTCCAATTATAATGTATCCGGAATATTTGCAATAAATAACTTTTTAGATTTCATCTTCGGTGACATGTGCGCTCTAAAAAACGACCAGCAACCACGAATCCACGCACTATTTCCCATTACTTCCAATTTTATAACAGTATCTAAAAGTTTTTAAAAATCCAGCAATACTTCTTGACAACTCAACTTAGGCCTATATAAAACCCACACTCAATATAACCATACTCTAATAGTAACCCATTTTAATAAAACAAAACAAAAACCAATAAAAGAATAGTCAAGGGTTAATATTAGAAGATTAAAACAAACTCGTATGCGAGCGAGACTTCAGTAAATTATAATATTTTGATTGTTGTCATTTATGCTTATTCGTCCTCCATAAAAATTCTACTCGACTTCACATCGTTACTTATAATCCGGGCTTCGTTTATAGGGTATATGAATAATCTTTCTTCATTCAAAAAGCACCCCTTGAATTTTCCAAATTGCTGTATAAGCACCCCTCAATTTTCAAATATTTTCATAAATGCCGGAAAAGTACGGAATCACTTTTTGTTCATTACACACTCCACAGGAAGCAGAGAATTGAAAGAATTGATAAAAAAAACTTTTAAAACTAAAGGTGGCGCTGTTTATGTTTTGTTTATGGTGGTCGAAACAAAACGACAAGTGCACGCTACTACAAGCTGAGTGTTACCGGTAAATTGTTCAATTTTGTGCCAAGAATAGGCCTAAAACATCTTGTAATTGATAGTGTACAGATGTATCATAATTTAAATATTTATATACATATAGTAGCTTACAAATTGTAGGCCCTACTACTGCCTAGGCCTAGGCCTAGCCTAACTAACTACTACTAGAAGAAGGCCTAGTTAGTGCTGCCCCAGCCCATGCCCTCGCTCCTGGCAAGTCCTGCTATATTACTAACTACTACTAGGGACCTAGGCAAGTACTAGGCCTTTGGTGCTAGCCTAGTCTAAAGTCAAACTACCCCTTCGCCGCCGCCAGACAGAAGCTGACTTTTCAGGTCTAGCCTAGGCCTGGGTTAAATTTTCATCTTTATTGATTTGGTCAGCTTTGGCTTTGTTTGAGCCATTGGCATCGTTTCAGCAAAATATGTTCTAATAGTAATGATACACTATTGGCCATGGCACTGGAATCCCTTAATCTTAACTATTTTGAATTTGTGTCGGGTAGCTCGGTCAGTGCTGCTAGCTAATAATACTAGTCTTTATTTTTTCAAGTTCACATACATTTGTTGACTTTTTCGGCTTGAGTGTAGGTGAATACAACAAAGTATTTTTTTGGCGCTAATGCACTTTAGTACTCCACCCTAACCTTAACCTCAACTCCAGTCTTGCTATCTTAAGGTTAGGGTTAGGGTGGAGTACTAAAGTGCATTAGCATTTTTTTTTTTTTGTAGATGTTGTATTTCCTTGACTGGAACGGAATAGGCCTAAACTAAAAAATGAAGTAACAGTCAGGGTAAGGCTGTTGTTGAGGCTATTATTATTATTGAAATTATGAAATTGCCTGAGAGAATAAAAACACTTCCCGGTAATTTTTTGTTGTGCTCTTATTCCATAATGTTTTAATCAATTTACTAAATTTCAAGAAGATTATATGAAATATTACTTTGATTTTTTTATCATTTCTTAGAAATGAGTGGTAAAAAACAAGGTCCTGCCCCAACGGTAGACCAGATAATTGCAGATTCTTTGACACAACTGGCTAGCCGTTACTGGGCCCCAAATAGTCCAATACCCTTACAACCATTTGAATCAAAGGTAAATTTCAACTTTGTCTTATTTTTTATAGATTTTATTATGTTTTTACCAACAAAACCAACAAAATTATCAAATTTTGTTGTATGCCCATATATATATATATATATATATATATATATATATATATATATATATAGAACTG